AACGAAAATATTTTTAGATTTTTTGTCAAAATTTCTAGGGGATCCCCTTCGAAATTTGGAAAATGCCTGGGGAGGCCAATATGGCCCACAGCGATGGCTGTATCTCAGCCATTATTCATCCGATTCTTGAGAGGAATACCTTAAACGATTTGTAGATCGATTCTTGATCAATCTGCATCAAAATCCTGGAACGAAATTATTTTTAGATTTTTTGTCAAAATTTTTGGGGGATCCCCTTCAAAATTTCAAAAATGCATGGGAGGCAGAATTTGACCTACAGCGAAGGCTATATCTTTGCCATTAGTCATCCGATTCTTGAGAGGAATACCTTAAACGATTTGTAGATCGATTCTTGATCAATCTGCATCAAAATCCTGGAACGAAAATATTTTTAGATTTTTTGTCAAAATTTCTAGGGGATCCCCTTCGAAATTTGGAAAATGCCTGGGGAGGCCAATATGGCCCACAGCGATGGCTGTATCTCAGCCATTATTCATCCGATTCTTGAGAGGAATACCTTAAACGATTTGTAGATCGATTCTTGATCAATCTGCATCAAAATCCTGGAACGAAATTATTTTTAGATTTTTTGTCAAAATTTCTAGGGGATCCCCTTCGAAATTTGGAAAATGCCTGGGGAGGCCAATATGGCCCACAGCGATGGCTGTATCTCAGCCATTATTCATCCGATTCTTGAGAGGAATACCTTAAACGATTTGTAGATCGATTCTTGATCAATCTGCATCAAAATCCTGGAACGAAATTATTTTTAGATTTTTTGTCAAAATTTCTAGGGGGTCCCCTTTAAAATTTGGAAAATGCCTGTGGAGGACAATATAGCCCACAGCGATGGCTGTATCTTAGCCAATAATCATCCGATTCTTGAGCGGAATACCTTAAACGATTTGTTAATCGATTCTTGATCAATCTGCATCAAAATCCTGGAACGAAATTATTTTTAGATTTTTTGTCAAAATTTTTGGGGGATCCCCTTCAAAATTTCAAAAATGCATGGGAGGCAGAATTTGACCTACAGCGAAGGCTATATCTTTGCCATTAGTCATCCGATTCTTGAGAGGAATACCTTAAACGATTTGTAGATCGATTCTTGATCAATCTGCATCAAAATCCTGGAACGAAAATATTTTTAGATTTTTTGTCAAAATTTCTAGGGGGTCCCCTTTAAAATTTGGAAAATGCCTGTGGAGGACAATATAGCCCACAGCGATGGCTGTATCTTAGCCAATAATCATCCGATTCTTGAGGGGAATACCTCAACTTCAAAATTTCAATAATGTACATATATCTATGTCTGTAGTCATCCGATTCTTGAGCGGAGCATCTTATCCGATTTTTAGATCGAATCACCGCCTATCTGGGTCAAAATCTATTAACAAATAATGTTTCAAATTGTTTTCAAATTTTATATGTAGAGGAAAGTACTTTATAATTTTAAAAATGTATGTAAAAGTCAATATTTCCGAAATCGAAGGCAATTTAACCTTAAACTTATTTTTGATGCATGAGGATAGAATTATGTTTTTCCCACAATCCGAAGCTAGTTCCTTATTATTTTGAGCATATTGTTATTATTAGAGGTAATTTCATTTATTTTCGTATTAAATTTTATATTATGATCGAAAGGATTCCGGAGTTCCCCACTTTAAAGCTTTAATATTAAGTCAACCTGCAAAGCCAAATATTTTCATGCTCATTCATAAAATTTGACATTAGCATATTGCATTTCCATTGCGTTAATGTGACAAAATGACAAATGAAGTTGGTTTCGCTCCTCCAGTCGCATTCCCAGTCGAATGGCGTCTGTCTCCTTTCATTTCCGCTCCCACTATTCCGCATCCCAGAATTGGATTTAATGCGTTTCGCGGCAAGCTGCACTTGAATTTGCATTTTCATTTTCATTTTTCCCAGCGTGGCAAAAAGCAAAACACTTTGACAAGCGTTTACAAACTCGCCAGTGCGGCAACAACAGCAACAAGCCAAGTAGCGCGCCAACTTTGAAATTGATAAATTGATTTATGCAAACAAAACACGAAAAGGATCTTCGCCCCCTCATTTGAGGAATATGAAAAATGATGATGAAGGGGCTAAAAACAAAAATTTGTTCACATCAGCAGGCTGAGGTGGATGGGAGAGGTGGTGGTTTCAGATTTGGCCAAGGGCTCAGACAGGCCAAGCAACAAAGTACACATAAAATCAATTAATAAACAATATGAAATGAAATTTGCAATTGTTAAAATGTCTGCTGCTGACTTGCCCTCTCAACGAATTTTGACAGTATTCCACCGCTATTGTGGCTATTTTCGGCGTCATTCAGTGCCATTGTCCGGATTTTTCTGCGCTGCTTAAAGTCACTCCCAGGTCCATTGTGTGGCCATTGCTGTTGCTGTGGTAGCTGCTGATAGACTCACGCCCCCTCACGTAAAAACACAACAACCAGCCATAGAATAGTATCAGTTTCATTTCCACTAAAAGTTACTTTTGTAGTTTTTACAAAAAAAAAAAAGCATGGATATCCTAAGAAAAGTTATTAAACTCTGTCAGACTTTAATAAATTCAAAATAGCATATTACGTATCCGCCATGTTGAACACAAATACCTGTCCAAACTGTCATAATATTAAGTAGTTATTGTCAAAAGAAACTTTTTTGCTTTATTTTGCAACTAAGAATCCCACATTTGTATAATCTATAAAGCTTATTTTTCTCTCTATGCATATGGACTGTGACATTTAAACCGACGAGACAAACAATTCTATATGGTAATCAAGTCACGTGTTTGAGTGGATGGTTAGCAAAATGCAAGCTGTTGAAGCATTGCCACGCCCCCAGAGGAAGGTCGGCCCTTAAGTCTGACTTTATAGCCAGACGGCATTATAAACTTAATTAAAATATCGGCAGCCACCCCAAAAGCAGGCAATGTTTTCTTTTCGACAGGTAAGAAGCGGCAAATATTTAACAGCCCAGCTACATAACTTAAACATATTGTGCAGACTTTGGCGCAGATACATCAGCGTATATGTATTTATAGACACACATTCCTTTGGCACGCGGGTGTATACACCAACCCCCTTACACACAATGGTGCTACAATCACAGGTAACTGCTACATGTGTAAATATTTACAAAACGCGCCAAGCGTCGACAAACCGACGCCATCTTCACTTTTACCGCCAACTAAAGGCTCTACCGAGCTTGTAACTCTTTCGTTTCGCACAGGAGCGGATTAGTAATGCCACCGAGTAAGGACTATACATCTCTTAAGCTTTCTTTCCTTTTGCAATAGTAGCAATTCATATTCTGTATTCAGGTATCCTTTTGAAGCCAAATTAAAAAATAACCGTAACATATCCTAATCTGCTCCTGTTTCTCGACTCTCCCACGCAGCCAAACGCGGGTTTATTTATGCCTTTCGATATTTATCGCAGTTGGTCTATTTGTTTTTGTTGGTGCCACTGCTGACTGTTCCAGAGTCCCCATCTCGGATGTGGGTGCTCGGATGTGTGTGTGTTTTATTCCCTTTTATTATTATTATGCTGTCATTCCTGTTGTCGCGACATTGTCAGCAAACGTTGTGTGTGGTCCCTAGGATTCGTTTCTACGTTTGTATATGGATACATGTATGTGGGGGCGACTTAAAATCGGACTTGCCACCGGCATGTCCTTGTTTATCTTTTTATGCTTTAGTTTCCCCGATTGAGCCAACCATTTTATGTGTCATCATAACTGTTGGCCATTTGTAAGCTACCAGAAAATTGGTCATAATATAAAATCACAGAGTGTGTTTCGATCCTATTACCCATCATCCAAATCAATTTGTTAGTCCTGCCTACATCAAAATCTGTCAATATGCCTCATAACGTCAATAGGGAAATAAATCGTACGGTATGCGAGAAGTTTAAAAGCTTTATGAAGGTTGGCTCCCATGACTAGGATAAATGCCACAAGGGTGCCATAAATTGTAAAGCAGCTTCCAAGGAGAGAAATTCCTGTTGCTTTTGTGTAAAAGAATTATTATTTGAGTTAGGCATTTATTTATAAAACAATAAATGCGCTTTTCAATAGTTTCTATACCATGTAGACCCAAAAACGCCCTATAATTACAACAAAAACATTAAAAGTACCACCCCTCTGAAGTCAACGGCCAGACCCTGCGCACCCTTCATACGCATTAGCGCCTTGGATTGGATGGGGGAAACCACCCTTGTCGAGATAGAAGCCTCAAAGGCATAACGTTTAAGCGTTGCTCCGCTTGCATTTGACTTCCACCCAGGGAGTGGAGGGTCGCTCAAAGTAAAAGGGAAACCTTAAGCCACAAAAAGGCTCAAGTATGTGGAACAGCCCTTAGGGCAAGGCAATATCCTTCTTGTGGCCCGACAATTTTTCTATTGCATATTCTTAGAACTAAATAAAATTGGCAAATGCAAGGATATAGGGATTTGCCCGACAGTTTTTAGGATTTTTTTTAGGTCCGACTCTACACATAAAACATAAGTAAAATTTAAAAAAAAATTTTAAAAAGTGACCTACCACAAAAAATTGATCTATAAAAAGCTTCATAAAAATTTAGGTTTTAAAATATGTAAAATTTATACAAACCATTTAGCATTCTTTAAACTTTTGTTTTAATATTTTAGATTTCTATTCATTTGCAATTATATTTTATAAACATAAAAAGCCTAAAAACAACTCATCACTTTTATTAGATAGTGTTAAGTTCCCAGGTTTCTAAAACAAAAACAAATTATATTTTGTATTATATTATATTTATTGTTAATTATATGTATTTACAGTTTGTAGATTTTAAAATTTGTTTTCTAGATTATTGAATCATTGGCTCTATATAATTAGAGCCGCCTGCGTGTTTTCATAAATGATATAAATTGGCTTTGACGCATCGGATTTAATTTCATTAAAAAAGGAAATGTACGCGAAAGTAGTCCTACCGCTTTTATTATTTGCTCTCGTGGATCGATCTGATGCGGGGGAATATGAGCTTGTGTTATCAGATGATGAGATCTTTAGTGATTGCCAAGGTATAGATGCCAGCTTTAAGAATATAAGTAATATGTTCGACTTTTCTCATTTCAATTCCACTTTGAGACCTGATGGTATGGCTATAGAAGGAAACTTGACAGTGGTTTGGAATATTCAACCTGGGGATAGGATAGAGGTGAGTCAGGAACTATGGAACTTACTATAATTATCTTTTTAAATTATTTTATTCTTAGTTAACCATACAGCTCTTGTACATGGATCGTGGAACTTGGCAGCCGACAGTATTCTCCATTAATACGAAGGACTTCTGCAAAATCATGTACGACAAAAGGCAATTCTGGTACAAATTTTGGACCAAACATATTACAAACGTTGATGACATCAAGGATAGATGTCTCACTGTTCCTGGAGTATGTGTCAAATCCTTGCTGAAAAGCTTAAATTTAATAATTTACCTGTTTTTTTACAGACTTATATAATTATGGAGACGTACCTGTTGGTCTTGGTAGCATCGGCGCAATCCACTGGACCACTTCGCGAGGGTCGATATAAAACTCGAATAATCTATAGAGCCTTTGATCCCTTAAACTTCAAGGAACGAACAAATCCAATATGTTTTGAAGTGAGGGGAGAGGTTTTTAAATTATGAACTGGATCATAATTACAAGATCTTTCAAAATTACTAAAATATATACGAAATTTTATTATTGGTGTGAAGCGTACAAATCATACAATAATCATATTCTATATAAGTAAACGTTCATATATATACAAGCAATTACACTTAGGGGCTATGCAGAAATGAGCTTAGGCCTATCACTTAAACAAATGTAGCGTCGTACTCTTAAAAACCTACGGACTTTACACTCATCCATCCGATATATTTTAAAACGATTGCCAGCGGTCAGCATGGTCGGTACTGCTAACTTAACTAAGACACAAGAGATCGTTGAGGCTTTCATGTTGATCTGGCGATCATGTCAGATGCGGCGTAGCTGCTGGGGCCGATTTTCCCGCAAAGAATCGATTGGCGCCCGTTTGTGTGGTAAACAGCAGTGTGTCCACTGACGGTAGCATCTGGTTGGAGCGTACCAGCAGTGGCACATTTACTACGGGCATTGCAGGGCTTGTTGGCACTCCTGCGGCCACTGATTGCACTGTATTAACCATGCTGCTCAGTTTTCCTTGGGCGTTCAGCGTGAAGGCGGGCAGATAGTAGTTCCCAGAACGTGACGGCATCGCTTGCGATCCGCTTGGGGCGCCACTGGGAGCGGAGGCGGATACTGCAGTCAGTTCCATAGAGGCTGGCGAAGAAAACGGCGAGGACTCAAGTGATGGACAAGCTAGACGATCGCTTGGTTTGCAAGGCACTAAAAAAATAATAGAATTTGTTAAATATGCTTGCCATTTTTAACATAGTTTTGAAAACATACTGAAATCTTCATCTGGCAAGAGTTCGTCGGGCAATTCGTTTTTTATCTGGAAGTGCAGGGCAGCGGCAGAGTCGGAGATGGCATTGTCCGATGTCCCCATATCGGTGTTAGCCACGGGGGCATCATAAAGGCCACACTCTTCCATTTCCAGTGCCTGCTCCATAATCAGATCCTCCGCAGAAGTCAAACTGAGGCCATGTAGGTCTAGGAATGGGCCCGGATTCTGGACCGGCTCTTTCTTGATCTGCGAAATGCTGCTCAAGGGTGCCAATCCGGACGGTGGCTGCTGATTTGGAGTCTGCAGCTGAGGCTTTTGCTGCAGCTGCTTCGGGGCCAGTTGCTTTCGCTCCCGCTTAGCTTTGGCCTGCTTGGGCGGCGGTGGGGGAAGTGTCACCATCACAGTAGACAGTTCCTGCTGCTGTGATGCTGTCGGCACAGGATGCACCTGCTGTAGGGCTGTTCCCGCTGGCAGAGTAATTCCCAAGGCGGCCAGAGTAGCCTGCTGGGGCTGCTTCTTTTTACGTGCCTGTTTTGCAGGGGCGGGCGTGGATGCAGGTGGTGGATTGGACTTGGTTTTCAAATCATGCGTAGGGACTGGATTATCGGGATTGGCTGCCGCTGCAGCTGCTGCTGCTGCCGCTGCCGCTGCCTTCTGGGCCTTGCTGGTGGTGGACTTCTTGGAGCAGTAAGAGGGAATGTTTTCGAGGTGTTCGCCCGTCTTATGGTCGACCTTGTGGCGGCGTCTTGTGTGCTTGAGCCAGTTGGGGAAATTTGTAAAGTCTCGCGGACAGTAGTTGCACTTGAACGGTCGCATGCCTGTGTGGATGTTCGAATGCTGTTTCAGCTTGGAGTTGCTGATGAAGCTCTTATCACACACCGTGCAGGCGAAGGGACGCTGCTCCAGATGCACCAAATTGTGTACCTTGAGGCAGCGCTCTGTTTTGTACATTTTGCCGCATTTCTCACAGCGGTAGGAACGCGTCTGGGCATGGTACTTTTGGTGGCGCTGCAAATGGGATCGCTCCTGGAATCGTTTCTGACACTCCGGGCATTCGTACGGCTTCTCAGAGGAGTGGATCCGGGCATGGTGCGTAAGATTGATTTTCTGGACGAACTTCTGGCCGCAGATGTCACACTGGTACTTCTTGTTATCGCTATGGATTTTCCGATGCATCCACATGCTTCCCAATTTGAGGCTGAAAAAGAAATATGCTTTTAGAAAAGATCCTTTAGAGGAAACTGTTGGATACTCACCACTTGCCGCAGTCCGGACATTTCTTCCACGTATCCTTGCGGCCCTCGGTGCGGTGAGTCTTAAGGTGCTTCTTTAGCCCGGCTAAAACCTCAAACTCCCGCTGGCACTCACCGCAGCGGTAGATGAGTCGCAGCCGATGGGCGGCCGATTCGTGCTTAGCCAACTCCTCGGATGTCTCCAGTAGCAGTCCGTTGCAGTCCAAGCACTTGTGCAACGGCGCCGGGTCTACCTCAACAGACTTTTCGTGAGCCTCAATCACAGGAGGCGGCATACTAGCTGCATCCGTCTCTGCTGAAGTTTTCGACGTCGGCTTGGGCTGCTGAAAGATGGTGAAGGAGGGGGGCAAGAACTCGGCCTCGCTGACCTCCACCTTGGTGACCACATGCGCGGGACTTTGACCCATTTGAAGCTGCTTTTCTTCGGGGGGCTCTTCTTTGAAGACTTTCAAGCGCAACGCCGTCGTCGCTGGCAACTTGGGTTTGCGCTGTAAGGTCGGCTGAACTAGTTGATGTTGCTGCTGCTGGAGCTGGAGCTGCTCTGGAGAAAGCTTGATGGATGAGGGTACTCCGCTGGAGGTTTTCTTGAACGGGGAATTGGTGAATGCATTCGGTGGTTCGGGACGCAGAAACGTCACGTTAAACTCTGAGCTAGAGTGGTGTTCACTGGTACTGGCGGGTAGAAGGGTGGTGGTCCCAAGGCCGGAGCCAGAGCCGGAGCTGGAGCCCGCCAAGTCATCGCGGCAAACATCCGCCGATAGATTCAGCTCAGTGTTGTTCTGCGCACTTTCGTCCAGCACCCGCCAAAAATCCGTTGACGACAGACTATTTCCGTTGACCAGACTGGCGGAGCTAATTGTCACACAGGCGGACAGATCAATGTCCAGCGACTCATCCTTGATGCTCGATATGGAGTCAAAGTTGTTGATCCGCAGCAAAGAGGAGAGAATCTCGTCGTGGGCTGCCTTCGTGGGGGTTCCTCCATCGCCGTAAATTTTAGGCGGCAACTTCTTGCTTGGCGCCTCCTCCTTCATTCTCTTGCCCTTGCCTTTGCACTCCATTCCCGCCTCGCTCACGTACACGTACAGGTTATGACTATGCGGTCGGCGTTTTTGCCCGCCGTATTTTGTCCTATTTGGCCGCGCCGCTGATGATTCTCGATCACTGGGTCCCTTTTCCCGGTCACTGGGCTCTCGGCTCACACATTGCGGTCTCTTTTGCTGGAAAACACACGCGGCAACGATCCGAAAAACATTTAATTATTGTGAAATGCGCCTCGGCTTTGTTGTTTTTGTCACGCTTACGATTCTACGAGTCGCCATTTTGAGAGTAGTGTTGGAAGACGCGCGTCAGTGGCAGTCCCGCTAAAGAATTGAGAAATATTGAGAAAAATAAATCATTTTTAACCTATAACTTAAATTAATACACCTTTTTTAGTTAAATTAACATAGTTAAAAAACTTTTCTATAATTTTAAACCTTTTAATGCAAAAAATTAAGTTTAATAATTTGTTAATGACTATAATCACTATGGACGGAAGTCCACGAAAAACGAACCAAATGCCTAGAGATTAAAAAATTAACATAATAAAAAATAAAACTTAAATCATTCATTTTCCAAAATCATATTTTCAAAATTTAAATCAATTTAAAATTTTTATTTCTAATGAAATCTAAATTTAGCTTGTTTTTTTTTTAGTAACAAGTTGGCAGTTTCATAGTTAGTGATGCATTGTTTTTGCCTATCGAAACCTGTTCCGATAACGATTACCAGTGTAATAAATATGGCGTCAGAGGAAAACGTTGCGATGGATATTCCAGGTAAATTATTTATTTTAGATTGTATCAAATAATTGCGTTCAGCCAGGTGAAACGCAATAGACTGTGACAGTTCAGTCAGTCGTGCTAACTCCGCCTTGTGCTTCATTTTACTGAGCGAAGAGAACAACGTGAAAAGTAACTCAAAAAAACGTGAAGATCACGAGGCAGCGTACTTTTTTAACGACACCGTGGTATTCCATAACATCTGGCGTTTTTAGTTAGAACATATAAACCAAGCAGGGTGTACCATAATAGTCGGGTTGACTCTATTGCAGGTCGCCGCACTCGTTCAGGTCGAAAGGCCGCTTCGCCGGCTGTGTCAGCTCCGACAAGAAGTACCCGCCGCACATCGAAGAGAAGCGCCCAGGTCAGTACCAGCATATCTAAACACTTTATGGTTGATTAGTAAACATCTACTGATGTAGACTATTGCAATGTGCGTATGTGGCGTTGTTCCATGCGCACATGATTCCCTTTTTGGGGGCAAATGATTACCTGCAAGGGCCAACTGATTTCACAGACCCAGCCAAGCGGGATTATTTGTGATGGCAGCTCATCATACTCACACATATTCGGTTTGCGTTCCAGTTAAGTGACCACGAGGAGGAGCCAGCTAAAGAGATAATGCCAGATGAGGAGATGGACCCGGCGCCGGTCGAAAACTCTGCCGTGGAAGCCACCTTCGATGAGGCCCAGATGGACGACGAAATGGTACCCGTTGAAACGGGCGGCGTGGACGAAAAAAGTTCTTCGTTTCCATTTGGAACTGTAGCAGAGCAGCATTCGGAGACCAGTGATGATATTAAGGAGACCCGGGGCGAGGACACACTTCTAGCCTCCCTGGCTGGGGACAATGCCAATAGCCTGCCGTCTGTGGGGGGTAACGATGAGAACGACACCAAAAAATCCCAGAGGTTTGATTACAATGATGAATCCCTGAAACCCCATGCCGACAAACACAACTCGTCCGAAGATTCTAGTTCGCACCATGCCATAGCTGAAAGCTTGGGTGACGAAGCAGACACCAGCAATGCTACCATCGTGAACACCGAAATTATTTCAGAAGACGAACTTCCCCCGCCCAGCAAACCGGAAATAAACGATGCCGAGGAGGTGTCGGACGAGGAGCTGCCGGCTCCGCAACGCGCCGAGTTACCCGCAGATGCCGAGGTCATCTCCGAAGACGAACTCCCCACCCACAACAACAACAACCATTCAGGCGACCCTAAGGCACAATTGAAGCGAAAGGCAGACAAAGAAACCGAGAGTGAATCGGAAGATAAGAAGCTCATTAGTAGGGAGTCGAATTCAAAAGATAAATCCCTGGAGCAGTACAATCCCAGTAGCCCCACATCCGAAAGCAACGATGCTCAGCCTCTGGAAAAGAGGGCTAAAGTTGATGGTAAGTTTGCAGACTTTCAGATAACAAGACAATGCTAAGAAAGGCAATTATACCCAACAGATAGTGAGTCCAAGGATAAGGACAAGAAGAAGGAAAAGGAACGCGATAAGGAGAAAGATAAGGAGAAGGAAAAAGACGCTGATAAGGAGAAGGAAAAAGAACGCAAAAAGTTGCCCGACCTAGACAAGTACTGGAGGGCAGTCAAAGAAGACTCCACCGACTTTACCGGCTGGACATATCTGCTGCAGTACGTGGACAGTGAGGTAGGTATTGGCATCCATATCATGTCCATCAAATAATGTGGGAGGTGTGTGTGTTTTTTTAGTCCGATGCTGAGGCGGCGAGAGAAGCCTACGATACATTCCTGTCGCACTACCCCTACTGCTATGGGTACTGGCGCAAGTACGCCGACTACGAGAAGCGCAAGGGCATCAAGGCCAACTGCTACAAGGTGAGTACCGCTCTTAAATTTCGTCGTGCAATTAAATACCTTTCGCAATTTTTTGTATTACGCTTACAATTACGAATACTACTGATATTCATATATTTGTTGTTAAATGCAATTTATTATGACCTAATAAAAACTACATTCAATAAATGCAACTTCTCCAATAAAAAGAAGACAAAGCAGCCGTTAAGTCAGTCAGATTCGTGTTCTTTAGGGTTTATATATTTTTTACCCAAATCTCTATTCAGATCTATTCGAAGGGGCTGTGGTGTCGGATTAACTGGGGATGCGGGGTTCGGGATCCACATTAAAACGGTTGAGAATCCAAATTATTAAATCGGTTTCGGTATTAAAAGCAAAACAAGATTGGAATTTTGATAAATCGGCAATAAATCTCATTCTTTAAATGTGATCTCCACACACAAAGCGTGCCAAGTCTATCCTTTTATATATTTTTGTTTCTAATCCTTTCGGTATTCTTTACCAACTCTTATCATGGATCAATGGTTCTATATTTTTGCACATTACAAGGCACATTTATATATATATTTTTTTTCGTGAAAAGTGGACGTTTTGAGTAGATTATCTATATCACCCCTGTGTCGCACAACTTGTGTCGTAATTAAAGCTTAAATCCGAAAACGACTTTCCGTCCAGTCGCTGTTCGATCCTGGTCTTCGATCCGAACGTTTGTATCACCAGTTACCTCTTCAGTTACGATACCTCCATACTCTTCAACACGAAATAACTAGTGAGATCACATCTCGTACAGATCACAGTCGTAAGTACAAATGGCGTTTAAATGAAATTTTTAAGTCTCTCTGTGAAGTTTCTATTTAAAAATCGAAACACTCAAGTGTGTGCTTTTTTCAAAACGACAACTGCAACATATGTGTGTTATGTATTGTACTGCGTGTTTATGTAAAGTTTCTAAGTTAGTATATAAGTCCAAAAACACCATCCACATCAAACCGATAGTTGTAAGCCCTCTAGAACGACTAAGAACGTTTTAAGAACGACTATTTTAAATCATGAATATTTTTATATTTCTCCTTTGCGATCGATCATCAAAATAAATCGAAAAAAATAAAAAACAAAAATTGTACCAAACATACGAAAATGACCAAATCCTAGGTATTTGAGCGCGGTCTGGAAGCAATTCCTTTGTCAGTCGATCTGTGGATCCACTACCTGATGCACGTCAAATCCCAGCATGCCGAGGATGAGCAGTTCATTCGCGCCCAGTACGAGCGGGCGGTGAAGGCCTGTGGCCTGGAGTTCCGATCGGACAAGCTGTGGGACGCCTACATTCGCTGGGAAAACGAGTCGAAACGGTACCACCGAGTGGTGCAGATCTACGACAGACTCCTAGCCATTCCCACCCAAGGATATAATGGACATTTCGACAAGTAAGTGTATCAATTAATTCCAAATATGTCAACAGAACTACACTATGCTATCGACGTTTTAAATTTTCCGTAGGAGATGGCCCAGAAAACGCGAAAAACCAAGAATTCATTTTGAAAATTTTAATGTAAACTCGCTTTCAAAATATTTAAATGCATCTTGAAAACAATAAACAGAATTTTTGTATTATACGGTTTTTTATATAAATATCCAGATATCAAAATATCCAGAAATATCCATCTTCCAGAATTGAATAATTAAATAATACTAATGCCTGACTCTTTCTAGCTTTCAAGATGTTATCAATCAGCATGCGATTACCAGTACGATTGGCACGGATGAGCTTATTCGTCTGAGGAAGGACTACCATGATCGACAGCAAAGCAAGGCGTCCAAGTCCTCCTCCAAGAGCCGTCGCGACAGCAGTAGCTCCAAAGACAAGGATTCTAAAGGCGATCGCGATAGGGAGCGGGAGAAAGATAAAGATAAGGACAAGGAGAAGGATAAAGACAAGGAGAAGCGGGAGTCTAGCGGGGGCAAGTCGCCAAAGGATACTAGTGAACCTCATGTCGATGAATCAGACAGTACAACCGATCTGACTGAAAGCGAGCCAACTGCCGCCACAAAGACCACCCCGCAGGTTGACTTTAGTGATCTGAGCACCCTGAGTGATGAGGAGACTGCTAGCATCAAGGATCGGGCCATATCGGCGCGGCGCAAGATTCACAAAGTGACTGTCAGTGCCGTGACGGCCCGCTGGTCGTTCGAGGAGGGCATCAAGCGACCCTATTTCCATGTCAAGCCCCTCGAGCGGGCTCAGCTGAAGAACTGGAAGGACTACCTTGACTTTGAGATCGAGAAGGGTGACCGTGAGCGGGTGTTGGTCTTGTTCGAGCGATGCCTGATAGCTTGCGCCTTGTACGATGAGTTCTGGCTGAAAATGCTTCGCTATTTGGAATCATCCGATGACGTGCCGGGAGTGACTCAGCTGATCCGCGACGTCTATCGCCGCGCCTGCCGCATCCATCATCCGGATAAGCCCAGTCTCCACCTAATGTGGGCCGCCTTCGAGGAGTGCCAGCTGAACTTCGATGCCGCTGCAGAGATTCTGCAGACCGTCGAGCAGCGCTGCCCCAATCTCCTGCAGATCGCCTACCGCCGCATCAACGTGGAGCGACGACGCGGCAATATCAGCAAATGCCGCGAGTTGTATAAGAATTACATAGAAAGTACAAAGAACAAGGGTGTGGCCGGAACTCTGGCTATCAAGTTTGCCCGGTTCCTGAACAAGATTTGCCACGATCTCGATGCGGGCTTGGCCGAATTGCAGCAGGCGCTGGACCGCGACCCGGCCAACACGCGAGTGGCCCTCCAGATGATCGACCTGTGCCTCCAGCGGCCGAACGTAGACGAGCAGGAAGTCGTCCAAATCATGGACAAGTTCATGGCCCGCACGGATATCGAGCCCGACCAGAAGGTGCTCTTTGCCCAGCGCAAGGTCGAGTTCCTGGAGGACTTTGGCAGCACAGCTAGAGGTCTGCAAGACGCCCAGCGTGCCCTCCAGCAGGCGCTCAGCAAAGCCAAAGAGAGTCAAAAGAAAAGGTATGAAGTTTTTCAACTGGTTAATGTTTTCTTACTAATTTTAATATTGATTCTTTCTAGCGATGGCAGCCCAAGCCGAAAGAGCTCGTCGGCTAAAGATGGAGCTCCCGCTGCAGGCTCATCCGCCACTGCAACGGCCTACAACAACGGTGGCACAGCCACGGCGACTGCAGCCTACAACTACGGAGCGGCCGGTGCATCTGCCTACTACAGTCAAACAGGAGGCGCTGCGAGCGCAGCGTATCCCGCGGCCCAAGCTCAGGGGCAAACGTCCTACGACTCGTACTACAATCAGTGGGGTTATGGGTCGGGCGGGGCCGCCACCGGCAGCGGAAGCTACAACTACGGCCAGTGGAGTGGATACGGCAACTACTACTAGCGTTGAGCAGAATCAACACCAACCAGCTCATCTTCGTACCTCCAAGATGTGTCCTCTAGCCGCTCAGTTTTTTGCCTTGCTGCTCCGCTCTGTTAAGTTATAGGTTTTTAATTGTAATTTTATACTGATACCTTATTTTACATATGGATATGTAGCAGACACGATATTTTCGTCGCGACAAATAAAAGACGTCAACTTAATCGGTTCACCATAATCTTGCGTGCATATATTTTGCCAAGAGCTAATTGGGGGGGGAAGTCAAACTATGCCTAAATCGAAAGTAAAATGTACAATTATGACCCTGGACTTGGTTAGTCTAGAGATTTGGCCGATACCACGTCACCTCGCCTCTTTTGCAGCCGGTCACTAGCAGTGGCTCTTTGGGGCTGAATTTGGCACACAGGACAACGTCTTGGTGCTCGGTGATCTTGGCCAGCTCCACCAGCTGCCTGGGCTGGCGCTTGACTTCGTCGAACATCTGATACCTGGGGTAGTCACCGCAATCGGCACTGTAGCCCAAAAGTCTCACTCCGTTGCCGTAGGGGGAGCAAATGATCCTCCCGTCCGCTGAAAATCCCGGTTCCTTGATGAAACCCGACTTGGTATTAGTTTCGGCAGCATAGTATAGCAGTTTCTTGGCGTTCACAAGTATGGAGTGGTCGTTCTCCTTGGACGCCGACCCCATCCCCGCTCCGATTAGAGGTCGCAGCCGCACCCGCTGACCGATCTCTAACCGAACTGGGGTGTCGCCACTGCTTGTGCTGCTGCTGCTGCTACTCGAGCTAGAGCTACTGCTGTTTGAGGCAGGGACTTCGCCGGCGGGTGGATTCGGTTGCTGGCGACTGTTAACCGAAGGTCTCAGCGGGAGCACTCCGCTGCTGATGGCGTACACAAAGTTATAGCCGCCAACATGGTTGCTGGAATTCCTCGCACGGTTCTGCCGAATAGCCCGCTCCTGCACGGTCACCTCCGCTGCCCAGATGTCAGGAATAAAGGTGTCTGGTCTTTGGATAGGAGCAGGATGACCGTTTTCCAGGCGGTTCGATCCGGCGTTGTCTAAGTGGAAAACTTGCACGCTGCTCATATGCAGAGACCTTCTTGGCTGCCTTACTTCCTGACTGTGGGAGGTGGCAGCAGGGTAACTTGATGTGCTACTTCTACTTGCGCTACTGCTCCGAGGATTATTTGGTGTGTTCACGCACTTCTTCTTGGGATGCGGCTCCTCCGGCCGCTGCTCGTCGTCACTGGGCACCGGCTCCTCGTTGATGTCGTGGATACAGGTCCACTCGCTCTGCTCGTCGCAGCTGACGTTGCGCGTCAGCATGCAACGGCAATGAGGATGGATCTGCAATGCCATTATCATCTCGGCGTCGTTGTGCTCAGGGAAATCAGTGACCAGTTCCACGCGGTTCTTCTTCTGCTTCTTTGAGAAGACATGGTCGTACTTGGCTGCCTGTGGGATGTATTGTTCGCCTAGCTGCATCAGGCGATAGATACCGGGCTGGAAAAATATAATTATCGCATTATAATGTTATCTTAGTGAATATTTTTGAATAAGGGACTTCCCCGGCATATACCCAGCCCAAATATACTCACTCTAAAGCCACAGAGATCGTTGTGTAAGGTGGTGAGGTCCAGATGGTGTATTATCATAATATAACCCCCACTGGTGCAGAGTACAAGCTTGTCCCCTGCCGGGGATATTCGACAACGCATCAGGCCACTGGCATGGAAGACCCGATGCGAAATTAGGCCCTGCTCGGTCTGGGAGTTGATGTCCCAGGTGAAGATGCTGCCGTCGAAACCAGAACTGACAAGGAGCTTATCCTTAGAGGAGTACTCGATGTTTTTGACCCAGTTGGAGTGGCCGTGTAAGACTCGCATTTTCTGCTTCATGTTTCGGAGATCCCAGAGTGCCACCGTGTAGTCATCCGATCCGGTGGCGAAGAGGCGTTCGTCGAAAAATCTAAAACAGCACATGGATTTGGCTGCGATTGAGTTACTCCAACATCTGTGGGGTGGAACTTACTTAATGCAGTTAACGCTGTCCGTGTGTGCGTCGGGGACCTTGAAGATCTCCCGCTGGGTGACAGCGTCGAAGACGAGGACGCACTTGCGCTCGGTCGCTGCCACCACCACGTTTCCATGCGCATTGAATTCTAAGTTGAATATAGCTCCCGTCCAGCCGGCCTCCATGGGACTGCAGTTGGCATGATAGCTATTGAACATTCCCACCGAACTGTAGATCCGCCGCATGACAAAGTTGTCGTCGCCTTTGTGGGGGAACCCGCTTTCGCGGCGGCTTAGGTACTGCTCCATGCTAAAATCCATAAGTCGTGGGTGCCCGGCGACCCAGTTGTCCTTTTCTTGATGCTGATACCCTCGCCCAGAATCACAAAATAGCCGATTTCCGCGTTTATGCAAGTTCTGACACCACCAAAAAGAACTCTTGTTTACTATTTGAACGAGGGCTACAAAACGGTGTTGCCGATTTTTATTTTTTACCTGAACTAAAATTAATTATCTAAACATTATTACTTATGGAGTTTGGCTCGACTAATGAGCAATGTTAGCTAAGGCCGTGAAACTTAAAGGTTCCATTACCAGATATGGTTTCTCTTTTTTTCGATATTAATAATAAGCACATCGCCTCATTAAAAACTCAAAATAGAATGAAGTTGGAATGATTCAGGGCTTGATTGAATTACGATGGAAGTGGAATTCAAATTATTGTGAATGGAAAAGAACAAAAGAATTATTCGCATTCATATTAAAAGAAAATTTTAACAAAATTTATAATTAAATACATTCTTTCATAGTATAATCTCTGTTATTTTGGGATATATTATTGGTTAGTTCTGGAAGCTTTCATTCTTCATTTTAATGTTTTCCTATCTTTTTTTATCTAGAATTATTTATAAAAACACATAAATGTTAAAACAATTGTTCAACATAAATTTTATGAAAATGGTTCAATAAATCGATAAGTTATTAAAAAAAATTTACATTTCTAATATAAAAGCGTATTTCAAATATTGTTTTGTATAATTTAAATATATCAAAAATAAATTAATTTATAAAAAAAGGCTATAAAAACATCTCTCCATCCAGGGTCATTTAAAAATACACAAAATAGCCAGGGCTGCAACAACGCCACGAGTACGGTCACACTATTTTTAAAGGAATAAACAAAATGCAAGTTTTCCAAGATAAAACCGCAGCTATGTAGAATTTTGGTCAATACGAGCAGAGAGATCCTTAAAAAGTGGCCAGCATGGAACGGTTCGCCTTCAAGATTGACGCCGCGCTGAAGGCAAACCTCTACAAGATCTGTCGGCTGTGCGGCATTGATAATCCTGAAAAAGTTCCGATTGAAAATGCGACAGACCTGGATATTATTGACCTGGACGAGCCCAGTCTGTGCCAGAAAATCTACGAACTGGTTGGGTTTAGGGTGTGTTTAATTAACTATTCATTCATTAGATCGTCTTTAAAGACAGCCTTTTGCAGGTTTCCTCCACCGACAAAATGCCGCAGACAATGTGCAGCCTGTGCGTGGATAAAATCAATGATTTCTACGAGTTCAGGGAGATGTGCTATGCCACCAATAAGCAAACGCGCAACCTGCTGGGTCTCAAGCAAGAAGAGCCAACGAAGGTGGGTAAGGATTTGGAGGGTCACTGCAAAGAATCACCACAACGTAGTACAAATTAAATTATCCCCTGAATCCAAGTTCCAAGTAGAACCATAAATAATCCATAATTAATGTTTTTTCCAGCTTGATGATTTTATTCCTATCGTTAAGGAAGAGCCTCAAGCACCCACAGCTGGCAGGCGCGGAAGGAAAAGAAAAATACCGGACACATGGCCCAAAAGCAATCTACTTAAGCCCCCGCTTGTAAAAAAGGAATCCCTGCCTTCGAACAAGAAGTTACGAATGCAGCAGCCTGAAACTGGTCACCTGCAAATGTGAGTGAAGGAAAAAATCAATTCAAACAATTAATTTTATTATTTTTACCGCAGAAAAGAGGAACTCTTAGACTGTGAGGGTCCAAGTACAAAGATTCCAGCGAAGAAAGGACGGAAAACCAGTTGCAGCGTTTGTGGAGAGAAATTTATGAGCAAGGAGCTAGCGGATGAGCACAAGAGCCAGGTGCACGTGCCTTCCATCCCGCGCTACATATGCAACGCTTGCAATCAGACACATCACAACCAGGGCGACATCAAGGCGCATCAGCTGTGGCATAAGCTCTCGAAGACGCCCTACAAATGTCCACTGTGCGACTCGAACGTCGCCAACGCCCACGCCTTCGCGCGGCACATGCGGGAGCATACGCCGACGACGCCAGTCGAGTTGCTCGTTCTGGATCGTTCGTGTCCGAAGTGCAAAAAGACATTCGTCACAAACTACTTTTACAACACCCACCGTTGTGCCATTCTGAAGCGTAAGTGCGGTGGTTGCAGTCGCAACTTGTCCACGGAAGCTGCTTACATGCGGCATGCACCTTGGTGCTCGAAAATCTATCTTCAGCACTCACAGCACATTCTGCCTGAGGTGCTGAGCAATGAGTCCCAGATACGGATCAAGAACGAAGTGGAAGAATTGGATCTTAGTGACCTTCCACCGGCCACTGCAATGCCGGCAGATTTCGTGATAGACGAGGAAATGCAACCAATGGTGGTCCTGGAACGCCTCTCGTCGCCCCTGCTGTCAGCCTCGGCGTCCAAGAATAAGAGCAGCGATCGAGTATCCTCGAAGAGCTACTTGAAGCGTGTGGATCAGTTGCTGAAGAACACAATGAGCACTTTGGTGAGCATCAAGCACGAGCCAGAGGTTCACATCAGCGACACAGGACCAACAGAACAGCCGGAAGTGGAATCTGAGCCACAGGAGGAGGAAGATCAAGAGCCACCTTCCTATGAAGATCATTTCATGGCCAGCCACGATGACAGTGACGAAGAACCAACCACATCCTCAAACGCAGCTGGCACTTCCGAGAACAATGCCGATGTTCCTTCTATCTCCGTAAAGCAAGAACTCATAGACGAGGCCTACGAGAAACAACTGGGGGTTAAGCAGGAGCCCCTTAAACTAAAATTAAAGATAACCAAGAATCACGGCAAGCTTAACTCCTCGCTTATCGATGATCTGGATGAGGCCGGGTTGGCGTCTGGAAAGGGAACTAAAAAGAAGAAGAAACGTAAGCACAAAGAACGGGAGAAGGAGAACCCTTCTGATACTGCCTTCAATGTGCCCATGGTTAACATTAAACAGGAACCTATCGACAGAGAGAGTGCCTCTGCTGGCTTAGTTCCAGAGGCCACGGTCATGACCACCATACCCATTACCCAAATTGGAAACAGTTTCGACGAGGGTGAACAGCTGCCAGAAACGGTGGCGGAGGAGGAGATGCTTTCGGAGAATGAGGATGTTAAACCAAATATTCAGGAATTGGATCGCCTTATGCAAATATCCAACGTAGTTAGTGGCGTGGATATGGCAGAAGAGGCCATGCCCTTGGAAAGAGCTGTGGAAGCCACTCCCGATGGGAGTTCGACAGAATCCCCGCCTAAACCGAAGTCCACCGCTCGCAAGAGTACGGCTGGAGCTCTACGCCAGCCACCTTCCGACAGTGATTCGCCTCTGCCACAGATTGTGGCGGTGGAAGGCGGCGATGCTGTTGCTTTTAACGTGATGCCGGATATTCGTATTAAGGCGGAGCCTCTCTATCACGGGTATTCAGATGATCCTCCAAGCGAAGACCACGGCGCCTTGGAAGAGATCAACCACAACGAGAAACTGGAGGAGGAAAATGCGTACATTAGCAACTTGGACTTGAGCACCGTTTCTGTTAAGCAAGAAAAGGACTTGGATATATCGGATGAGCAACCTGATTCGCATTTCAATGGCATGCACAAGGCAACAGACAGTGAAGATGATGAGGATGGCAATGAGGATTCGTCGGCAGACGAGGCCGAGGAAGCCATGGAGGAGGAGGAGGAGAAGCGCATCTATCGCGAAATCGAGTTGCCTCCATTGGAACCGCAGGACGAATTGGAGGTCACACCTCCAGCTTCTGGCTCATCGGCTCAGAACGTTTCAGAGGTTACTCCAAGAGTGGAACCACCAGCTTCCGCGAATAACTTGGTCATAACCAATATCTGCAGCCAAGCAGAGGAGTCAGAAGAAAGTTCTAACATCACTCCGGAGGCAGTTGAAACCGATACTCCATTAGTGGCTGACGGGACAGCTACTGAACCAGTAGACTCTGCATGTCCTGAGGAAACGCAGACCCAAGAAGTTCTCCCTGCGAATCTCGAGAACTCCACTATTGGAGATGGTAGTAATGGTGTTGATCCACCTGCTGCTGAGGATGATCCCCTTCCAAGCGCCAGTTCTAGTAGCCACAACCAAGAAGAGTCGGAAAACCAACCAATCCCATCTCCACCCAACGAATCCTCAGAAGATTCTCAAAAATCTGATATGAACCCAAGAACCGAGGCATTGAATGCGGAATCTTTACCAGAAGTTGCAGTAAATTCACCCAAAGACAGTGAAGCCGAAGCTCTTCCGTTCAGCGGTACATCCATTATGGAAAGCAACTATGCCAGTGATGAGGAGCATCAAAATGTACTCAACCAGGAGCTGTCGGAACAACAAGGGCAGCAGCTTCAATTCGAAGAACCGATTGAAGAGCCCATTCCTGGGTCCGACGAGGAGGCTGAGAACCGCATCAACGAGCATCAGCAACAGCTGGAACTCCGGGGTGTCGATGTGGAGGATCAGCGACAGCCACGCTGCCAAGAAAACGACGACTCCAATATCAATGAGATTGCCGAGAACAATAACAACGCCAATATTGAGCGCGAACTGCAAGACGATGCGTTAGGGGCTCAGGAAAATGTTAATCAATAGACTTGGACTAGCGAGTAGGCCAATACACCCAATATACAATATATATTATATAACTCAATCACCCTCTTGTAAATACACATAGATGCTTTGGTATTTTATAGCTCGAAGTGCAGCTCGATCCCATGAAGTGCGAATAATGTTTGTACGAATAGCTATAGTTTTAAGTTAGATATACACAACTTTATTACATAAATTAATGGCTTATACAATAGAATATGTAAGTATTATGTATTTGAATACATAAATCGCACAAAACTCGTTAGACATGCGTACATTTATATCCAAATTCTGATCCACATTAATCCACTCCTCCGCTGACTGGGTTTATTAGTTCCGGCAAGTCAGGAAGAGTCATACACATACATATAAGTAAAGTTCAATTAAATACATACACACAGAAGAAAAATGACTACGATTTTGCATTAAATGCAATCTAACTAAAAAGAAAATACTTATATGAGTTATGCTAGGTCATTAATCGATTGGGCGTAACCTCGAGATAGACGGTACTCGACAGCTCAAGGGGGCCATCCTGTGGAAGCAATGGTCTGGATAACTTGAATGCATCGCCTATGTTTGATTTTATTTTTGTTAATTATTGTTGCAACAATTAATGAATTAATTAATTACTGAGCAAATATTGTTTAAATTGAATGAATGATTAAACCTTTTTTTAATTGAACATCTTTCGGCTGCGGCCCTTATTAGATGTAGGCGCAGCGATCTTGGGTTATACTTTTATAAAATATATTCAGCTATTTTATAATATTTATCGCTCAGTTTTATGTTTTTCTCAGTTCACCGATAGGGTTCTCCTTAGATACACTCACAAACTCGTTTCGGATTTTGGTGTTCTCAAGTTTTTGGCACTGTAGTCTGAACAGGGTCTGTATATATAGTATACTATATAGTATGTTGCGTTCGTATTTAATTGAGCAGCTGGTGGATATGCTAATTTGGAGTCGAAACAAACGAAAGCGGGCGAGCTCTGATAAAAGGTATAACTTTTTGTTTATCCGTTAGTACTTTTTTTTAGGTTCGTTAAACTCGTACAACTAAATTAAAGAGGTATGAAAATTCACTAACAGTATTTACAGGGATTCATCTCCAACGATAAACCGAAATGCCAAAGCACAAACTATAAATTATTGCTTATATTTGGAATTGTTACTGCTCCCGCATCGCCTCGACTGTCCTTCCCTCGCTTCCCACTCGCTTAGTCCCACTCGCCGTCGTTGTCCGACGATCCGGAGGAGTCGTCGTCGTCCGAATGCATGGCATTGCCGCGCGCTGCCAGGGCACGACGCAGTGCATCGGCCAGGGCGTCGGTGCCGCCGGTGCTCTCGCTGTTCCGTTGACTGCCTAGCTCGCGTTCGTGCGCCGGTCTCAGCTCGAAGCCCTGGCGAATTTCCGACATCAGATCGCTACGAGAGTCGCCGCTACCAGTGCTAAGTGCAGCAGTGTCCACTTTCTGTATGGGTTAAGGAAGGAATATAGTTATAGTTATAGCTATAGTATATGTAAGTGAACCCACCTTTAAGGTTGTTCCCTTGCGAATGGCATCCATCAGTGCATTGCGAGGATCTGGACCCGTTGCTACTGGAGGAGCGGCTGGCCTAACCGCTTGGTTGGGTGCTTGTGTGGTCGTGATGACCGGTATCTCTCCAACTGGCATGGGCGGGGGTGGTGGTGGCGGCGCTGCTGCTGGCGGTGGCGGCGGTGGAGGTGGTGGCTGTAATCAAGGACTAGTTTGTAATATCCTGTACAATAGAGTCTTCAACAAGCTTACTGCTACGGCGGGCGCGCAGACTGGCGGCGGTGGTGGTGCGGTGTTGATGCTGATGGGTGGCGGTCTACTGGGCGGTGGAGGAGCGCGTGAGGCTCCCGGCACTGTGGTTGGCACAGGTGGTGGTGGCTGCCTCGCCGGCGGCGGCGGTGGCGCAGTTCTTTGGTTGCCATTCTGCGACTGCTGCAAAGAAACCAAGTCGGTTAGGTGTCTCTCCACTTTAAGTTCCTTGGGAGGAACACTTACATGATGCTGGCGACTGGGCACCGGCGGCGGCATGTGCCGCGTTGTTGTTTCCGTGGGCGACTCTACACTGTCCTGCTTCACCGAAGCCAAGACATTGTTGCTCTGTATAAAGTCATAGATGAAGGCGCGGGTATCCCGGTCCTTCAACTGCAGCTCCGACACACCTGCCTTGAGGAAGAACTCGTTGAGGACCTCATCGTTTTCGTTGCCGGACAGATCGAAGCCCTTGTCCGCATCCCAGCCGACGTGGCTGACATGCTTAAAGTCCGTCGGCTGACTGATGTCCGCTTTGGTCACTTTGCGCTTCTTGTCCTTGGAGTGGCTGCTCAGCCCAAAGCTGCTCGACAGGAAGCTGTTTTTCGTCGGCGCCGGCGTCAGCGTCACCGAGTTGATCATGTTGTTGCGCAACTTCACCGGACCACTGTCGGTGGATGAGAGACCGCCCTGCATCGGCGGCGGGCGGAAGGGCTCCCTAACCACCGGAGGCAGTGGCGCATTGGGGGCTTGCTGGCTCTTCTGCCGGTTGCGCTTCTCCTGGCGCTTGCGATTTCGCGTTTCGATGGTGGCATCCACAATACGGAAGAAGGAGTCGCACTCCTCCTCGGAGACAAAATTCAAGCCCACATGGCCGTCCTGGAAGGTAATTTGGATATAAACTCTTCATCTTCAATGGCCATCCGTTGGATACTTACGCTGCCTTCGAAGGTGAGGAGGAAGGGCCTCGACTTGACCACCTCCATGTCATCGTAGATCTCGTGCTCCCAGATCAGCTCGTTCTTAATCAGGCAGTAGGCGCGCATAAAGTACGACCGGATGGCGCTGTCCTTAACGAAGCAGACTACACCTGTGTGCCGCTTCTTCCAGTGGGCGTGGGCACTGCCCTCCGTCTTGTAGATCTGCACCACGGCCGTGTTCAGTGTCTGAAAGTGGAGCAAGCAAAAGGCATTGCGTTATGGTTATGCTCATCGATAGAAAGGCTGCTCCGGTTATCTAATCCCAGCTAACAAAAGCCTTCAACACCTTCAGTTTGCGCCTCATTGTGAATGCAACGATCAATCCGACTCCGAAACTCAATGAACTGTCGCGTCCGAGCTTAAAAACTCATCTGACTTTCGGTTTCGCTGATTTCTGGCCATAGAGTCGATGGCCCCATGCGAACGGGGCTCATTTGAATACAGATTAGCCAGCCGGGCCACCAGTTACTGCTCTTGCAGCAACTGCAACTGGGAGTCGGCTCGCTAATCCCGCTGCTTGGCATGTGGAGCACGTAGTTCCACACCACTCAATGGCAACCGTGGGCTACTAGTCTTGCAGACGGAAACGCATAGAGAGGCTCCTTTACACTCTTTTACGACCCAGACAGGAAACACTGGCGACATCTACTCCATAAAGGCCTGCCAAAACAATCATCTCTATGCGACAGTCCTCTGGCGCCAGAAGAGTCAAGGCAAAACTGTCCTTTATTTATTGAAACAGTCGTGAGAATCTCTCCCTCTATGTGGGCAAGGCCATTGGGTCTACTTGTGTGTGATTTGTAGCCATAACCTTTGCCATTTGGCCGAGGCCACCGCCTGACCCTCTTTCCTAATTGATTGAGCTCGCCGCCGTTGGGCGATGCTCCAAAAATGTAACGTGCTGGTAATTGAGCCAGTGCATCGGAATTACAAGCCAACATTATCAATTAATGGGCATTAGAGGAGCCCGAATGGATGGATGGGTAGATGGCCATGCAGAAATATGTATTCCAGCTGACCTTTGTCGCAAATAAAAGTGAAAGAGGCATTGACGAGCCGATTATGTGGATGTGGATGTGGCTGTGGATGCTTTCCAACCCACACACACTCTTGTGTATCTGCCAAGTGCGAAATTGTGAACATTTGAATTTTTATTGACGCTCAGCAGCTTCATGTAGCGACAGCTTCATGTCAGTGTCTAATTTCTTGGCCTATGTATGCGAATGGACATAAGTAGCATTGTAAAAATGATGTCTTGCCTTCTACGAAACTGGCTTGTTGTTTCTTTTTTTTTTCAAAAGCATTAAAATCGATGGAAAAAGTGGTCATTGCCACCGAACCGGGGAGGGGGGACCGGCCCAAGCTAAACCGTAAACGTTAACCCAACCGGGCCGAACTGTAAAAAACGCTCATACGCCCTGTGGTCATTATGTCACACGCTCTCTGGCTATAGATTGCTTCTATTTTTTGCGAAAAAATTATAAAAACCATTAGCTATTTTTAGAAATATTTTATAAATATTTATAATATTATATATAAACATCTATTTATAAATCCAGGTTCATAAATTAAATAGTAAAGGCTGAGTAGTCTTCGAACTAACAAAAGACAACCATAAACATTAATTAGAAAGTCTGGGCTATGGAGCTGGCAAATATGCGTCAAATATACAAATAAATGCGAGCAACTGTTGCGACAAACGGCTGCCAAACCACAATAACAACCACTTGGAGCTTACTAAGCCTGCAGCTCTGTGTTATCAAATGCCGAGTAAGAGTGCGACACTATGTCATCCACAACAATCCAATCCAAATGGGAGGGTAACTACCTTAACCAGCGCAGCTCGGCGCGGTTGCATTTCTTTTCGCGGAGTTCAAATGCATTTGGAAATTTTGTGCTTCGGACTTTTGTCAATGGAAAGTTGCAAAATTAACAAAGCGTGAATTGCGAATCAAAAAATGGCAATTTTTCATGTTGTTCGCAGTGTAATTATCCGCATAACGGTTACCGTTAAAAGGCCACCCCACTCCAGCCCACTCTCTTATCGCACTTTGGCAATGGCCGGTGATCCACATTGGGCGCAGGGAGTGATAAGATAAGGGTGGCTCGTGGAGCAGTATTGGAAGCCTAAAAATGCTTAAAAAAAAACTTATCGCTGTTCGAGGGTTTGGTTTCTCTTTCACTTTTCTGGTCGACTTTTCGACAAAATAGCTTGCGAATAAAAAAAACAGCTCAACTTGCGGTCTGTCATTGAATTCTTAGAGCGCTTACTGATAAAAAAGCTATGCAAATATTAGTAATGCCCTCAATGAAGCACCTCCTATGATTGGTTTCTACTGACTAAGGAATAGTTACTATTATTAAAAAAAGGTGGTTTTTTGTCAGAAAACAGTATAATTTGTGGTATTATACAATTATATTTAGAATAATATAATATAATAATAAATATATTTAGAAAACCGCTCAATGAAACAACTCTTATGACTGGTTTCTACTGACTAAGGAATAGTTACTAATCTTAACATAATAAAAGCTCAAAAAAAAATCGTTTCTTTCAAAAAACAATATAATTTGTGGTATCATACAATATATTTAGAATAATAATTTAATTTGAATAATAATATGGAAATCCCCTTAATTCCACAGCTACAATGATTTGTTTCTTTTGACTAAGGAATATTTACTACTAGTACTTATTACTTACTACTTTTATCCAAAGCTCGATTTTTATAGACATTTTTTGTATCATACAATGTATTTTTAATAATATTATTTTATATTAAAATATAATTATTATTGTTATTAAATAATTTGATATTTAGTAATGAAATCCCCTTAATGATACACCTCCTACGACTAAGAAACTTTTCTTCTGACTAAGGAATTGGGATGGTTATAAATAAAACCTACTTTTGTTTAGAAAAAAATACATTTTTTATGAATTTTTGGTATTTATTATTAATATAGAAATTTCCTTAATGAAACACCTCCTTTGATTGGTTTCTTCTTGCTAAGTATTATATACTATTCTTAATATAAACTCGTTTTTTTTCAAAAAAAAAACATTTTTATATCATTTTTAATATTATAATGAGTCATATATCAATCGTAAGCTATTGAGTCAGGCCAAAGTTATTCCAATTTGTAATTTCTCTTGATTTATTTTTTGACTTATAGCTACAACTTTAGTTTAATATGAATTTCCCATTTTATTTAGTTAAAACCCCCCACTTAAATAATATGCTGTGTTTTTGAGTAAATAAGCCACCGGCAACAGCTGTTGACCCATATAGGGTTACATACATAGCTTCTTCGAAGCTTCATATTCGCACAGAACCCATGGGCGACACTTGAGCCGCAGGAAGTGCTTCATCAAGCTTATTCCAGAGGCGGAGGAGGGGGCCTGACAAGTGTTTCAGCTCTGTCATCGCTTAAATATTAATCACCCACACTGGCCGACTAGCCGGATAGTCACTTACCTGACACTTTTTGCCCAAGAGCTTGAAGACGGCATCGTTCTCGTCCTGGGTGAGCAGCGAGCTGGCAGCGTTGATCTTTGGCCGCGGCCCCGCTGCTGCCTGTGGACCGTCCTGCGACCTCATGGCGCTCATTTAGCTGGAGTCTGTGAATCTGGAGTTGGAGCTGGCACTGGGCTGGTGTTCCTGCATAATGGGACACAACACTGGACTTATTGTTTGGTGAAAACAAAACGCAAATAACGGCAGATGATGAATGGAAAGGGCACACGACACAAAACAAAAGCTAAAATGTATTAATTTAATAATACAATACACGCACTGGGGACCCGAATATACAAAATAATATATGTATAAAAAATGATGCTAAATAACAATATAAAGGCACACACAGTTATTGCGAAAAATGACGGCAACTGGATTTGGAATCAATTCGGAGGCAGCTTATTTGATTGCCGTATTTTCGTATTCAAATCGAAAAAATATATGGCTTGGATATGGCCAAGAGGCCGCGAGACGTCGAGAGAGCGAGACTTGCGATGGCTGTGACGAGAGCTGTGGGTATGATGGCTCTTTTTTTTTTTCTGTTTGTCGCACTGTGGGGCTGTGTTACAATCGCGGAGAGGTTGAGTCACAGGTCCAAAGCAGAAACAGTCAGCCAGCTGCGTTCCGAAACTGAATGGGTAAAAGCGGGGCAGCTCTTTGGCGCTGGCCCCTTATCTTTGGCAAAACCTCTGATTAGCTTTGCGCATGTATCTGTGGTACACACACCCACACACACTCGAGCAAGTGGAGTGTGTATGTGAGTTATTCAACGCTCGCCCAGTGAAGATGCATTCGACAACACCTGTCGTGCCTCGCCAGGTCGCCAGGTGGGGTGGAAATAGAAATGTAAATAGACGCTGGAAAATGGCTTGGTCCCAAGGTCTCTCGCGCTGCCTATCTGCCCATGCACCTCTGCCATTGATTTTTTGCGTCTATTTTCGCGCAGTTTAAGTTGCTTTTTCACTTTTTACACACCACACACACTGCCAGACGCGGTTTTGGGCTTCTCCTGGTCTCCTGGGTGTTCTCCTCGGAACGCTCGTGGGGGTCGTCGGCTGCCAATTTCTACTGTACGCGCGACCTCGTCATAGGCTGCATGTTGAGGGTTTTCTCCGGATTCTACAATTGCACGGATCGCTCGAGTTTGTTTATTTGGCACTCCACGAGGGATGTCGAAAATATTTATTTGTATCGATATATCGATAACTTAGTCGTGACCCTGCTGCCCGTGAGAGTAAAATGTACTCAGTAGAGACCGTTAATAAAAAAAAATCGTTTCAAAAATTTCAAAGTTTCAAAAGAATGTACCATATATTTTTTAATATTTTTAAATATAGGTAGAAGAAATTATTAAATTAAAATTCCTAACGTATCGATATTTTTTATGGTATTTAAGACTGCCAGGCTTGTCAGGGTCTGCCGGAATTTGAATAAATTTATCGAAGTGGCAACCTTCTAATTTGAAACTCGCGCCTTTCTCAGCACCAGTGCTTCTAAAACTACCAATATACAGCCAAAACAATTTTTATCCGTTTTTAACATAATTCAAGATTTAAATTCATAATTTAGAAAATGTAAGAGAAGAGAAAGCCAAAAGGGAAAACTATAACCATAAGATAATTTCAAGGAAAGGATTTAAACGGGATAAAGGCAGCTTTTTGTGACAAAGGAGCCGGTGATTCTTTGACGAATATTATATGTAATTTCAAACGCTGGATCCTCTAGAAAAAGATTAAAGGCAGCTTATACTTTAAATATATGAAAAATATACAAAACAGGCCGGGAACTAAACGTTCGTATATCAAAGTGTCAATCCCACTGTGCTGGAAAGTTACAGTTCGAAAGCTACCTTTTAGATCAGAATATATATAGTTAAATCGGTACTTCGTTTACGCTTAATCCACACATTTTATTAGTTCATTTCTTGTTTGACCATCCGGTACAGTTGTGTTTTCCTTAAATGTTTGTGAATTTTCGCAAAGTTTGGTATTGTTTTTAAATTAAATATAAAAAAAATTGTCAATATTCGCCATGCCAATCAAGAAAAACGTCACTTATGAGGTTAAAACTGAGTATTATGAGGACTCTGCATCTCCAGAGGCCTCTCAGGAATCCGATTCCGGCGGCGAGGAAGAGGAGGAGGATGAAGAACTGGCGGAGTCCAATTCCGAAGAATCGGATTCTGTCGACAATCCTTCCGATTCCGAAGCAGCTCGTCTTCCTTATCCTACTCCGCCGCCTGATGAGGGTTCAAAAATGCCGGAATCAGACGGCAAGGAAAAAGCCAAACAGAAAAATAAAGGCTCTGCCCTTGCATTGGCCACAATGGCCATCGAGAAGCTGGCCAGTCGCTCCGGTTCCTCCGTAAAAGCGATCATCACATACCTCAAGTCGGAGGGCTACAAGTGGGACGAAGAGAAGCGGTTCAGCCGTCTTCTGACCCGCGCCCTCAAAAGGGGTGTGGCAAGTGGGCAACTCGAGCAGGTGAAAATGTCCTTCAAACTTTCCGAGCAGGCCAAGAAGAGCTCCAAGGCAGTGGAGAAAATGAAGGCTAAGAAGCAGAAGGCGAAGGAGAAGGCCGCGGCTAAGGAAAAGGATATGAAGGCCAAGGCTAAGGAAAAGGAAAAGGTGAAAGAGGAGAAGAAAAAGGCCAAAGAGGCGGAAAAAGAGAAGGCAAAGGCCACCAAAGCCAAGGAGAAGCCACAAAGCAAACAAACGGAGCGGAAAACAAAACAAGTAAGATTCCGGAGCGGATATTTGAAGTAGATCCTTAAAATTAATTCTTTAATTTCTAATTTTATCTACAGCCCTCCAAGAAAGCAATGCTTCAAGAGGGAGCCAACACAGCACCACCAAAGGCAAAGGATGCCGCCCTGAAAGCAATACAGGCTGTCCTAGAAACTCCCAAGTCGGCGCCACCTGCCGCCAGAAAGAAGACTGCCAAGTCTAAGGACGAAGTATCCAGCGCTGGGAAATCCAGAAAGCCTCGAAAGTCCATTGGATCCCTAGCACAGGCCAAGACTTCGAAGCCAACTGTAAAGGCGGTCAAGAAGCTCGTATCCGCCAAAGCTCCACTGGAGGCTGATGAGTCCCATGCCAATATAACAGATGCTCAGGCCACGTCCACTCCGCAAGCTGCTCCCGCCAAGGGAAAGCGCATGCGTAAAGTTCGATGAAATCTTTGAAGTTCTAATTTATTTGTTTTTATTATTGTTTCACGTGTTCAAATTCGATTGTAATGTTAAAATATATTTTATTCTGTCTTAAATGCGCTTTATAATACCCTTTCAGAGAGTATTATAAATGTAGTCAAAGGTGTACAACGTAGTGAAGGAGACATCCGACCCTATACAGTATATGTATATCTTCTTGATCAGGATCACCTCCTGGATGTGTTTTTGGGAAGATATAGCCATCACCGTGGGCCCTATAGGGGGAAATCCCATTTTCAAGGGATCCCAGCACGAAAAATCGACAAAAAATCTAAAAAATATTTTGTCTCAGGATTTTGATTCATAATGGTGGAGAATCGATCTAGAAATCGTTTAAGGTAACCCACTTGAGAATCGGATGAGAATTCGGGAAGATATAGCCATCACTGTGGGCCCTATAGGGGGAAATCCCATTTTCAAGGGATCCCATCACGAAAAATGGACAAAAAATCTAAAAAATATTTCGTCTCAGGATTTTGATGTAGAATGGTGGAGAATTGAGCCACAAATCGTTTAAGGTACTCCGCTTGAGAATCGGATGAGAATTGGGAAAGATATAGCCATCAGTGTGGACCCTAAATGGAAGCACCCCATTTTCAAGAGACATGGGACATGAAGATAGAAAGTTGGAAGTTCCTATTTTGGGCCATATGATCCGATCTACCAAATTTTAGGTCAACTATATCCTATAGCTTCCTTCCGATATTTGGGATAAATACCGAATCTTAACCTTAAGCGTATTTCACTTCGGCTCCGCTCGAAGTTAGCTTTCCTTTGTTGTTTTTAAATTTAAATACGATTTTATTTTGATATGATTAGTGAATGAAAGTAACAGCTGCCGGAGTTATCTTTGGGCGCAGTCAGTTCGGAGTAGGATAGCTATCCTTAGTAACTAGTTCATATTCAAAGCTTCTCGACCAGACTGTTGTAATTGACCTTCAGCCAGGGCAGCTGCCTAGCCTGATACTCCTGCTGGGCCAAGCGCAGCAGTTGGAACATGATGGCCAGAAGGCTCGTGCCCAGAGCATCCCCCAGAGCTGTGAGATAGGGAATCGCTGCCGTGTCTGGGTCGATCCTGCACCGCCAAAGAACATGCACCAGGACGTGGGCTACCCAGAGCAGGATGAGCAGCTGGCACAGGCTGGTGATAACAAAGCCAACCACAAAGGGCCATCGCACTGCTACGTACGAGACGTACAGATAGTCGGCCACGTAGACGAGGATCACGTTGCCCGGCACGGATATGGCGATGAGGATGCGAGACACGCGGGAGTAAACTGTTCCCCGACAGAACACCCGATGAGGCCATTCCAAAGTGCGCGTGTCCTCCGGTACTTCGCCGAGGGTGGCGCGCTGATAGAGGATGCTGCCCATGTTGCTGGCCTGAACTGAAACCAGGTTGCCGCCAATCCCGTTGATGATGGGTGAGAACACAGCGATTCCCCGGAAGTCGTCCACGGTGAAGCTGAGCACATTCCCGGCTATCTCGCTGATGCACAGGGCTCCGAACACCGGTATCCAGCTGGACAAGAGGAGCGGGCGAACGTAACTGTTCCGCAGGACCACAACCAACCACAATGGCAGCATAATGAAGACATAGAAGGCCATCAGACAGATGCAGACCCACCAATGGGTCTGGTGAATCTCATACATAGTGGCGGCAGTGAAGGACAGCATGCTAATGGTAACCACATCGCCCAGGGAGGCCACCATGGGGGTGGCCATGTAATCCGGATTGAAGCGATATCTCTGGGAGAAGAGCACGACACTCATCAGAATCGAGTCCAGGACAAAGCAGGAAATGCTGGACGTAATCAAAGCCGACGTAGTCAGGATGGGGAAGTGCTTGAACCTCTCCTGATCCTGCTGCACCGCAAAATGGACCAATGTCGTAAGAATGCTCAGGAATACGGCGCAAACGATGGCCTGTAACTGGACCAGGGCCATGTTACCCACTACGATCTGGATCACATTACTTCGTTTCGATAGTTGTCCCAGATTGGAATGGGTGCAGATTCTCGCCGCCACACACATGTCCAGATTTCCCTTCAATCCTCCCAGAACCGAAACCAGCACAAAGAGCTCGTTTATCTCACGGTACACCTTCCAATCCTGGACATTGCCCAGCAACAGACCGGCGCAAATGGTGCCCATGCCAGCCAGGAAGAAGGGAATAGCGATCTGGATGAACGTGGAGTACCATCGCTCCTGGTAGATTTCATCGGACGAGACCACCGACCCGAGACGATCCGTAGTATTCGCCATCGCGACCCAAGGGCCAGAATCTTAGATACATGTCATAGCAGTCTCAAAATATCTCACTTTCTACAAAATAAAAAAAAAAAACTAAGAATAACTACTAGACCTAGATATAGCTAGGAGTTATTTTCAAAGTAGATTCGTTTTATTGGATCTGCCGAAAGGCATATTTCAGTTTATTGATATTAAAAATTGTAAATCGCGCTCTAATCTTAAAAAAATGAAGACGCAAATCATAGACTTGGTAAAAAGCTGCCTTCCATCTCTCCCAACATCCTTCTTAGGTATACAAAATATATGTTAATTATGTAAAGGAATACTTAAAAAGCAGTGACTAAAAAATGTGATTCACATACCACACATATTTGGTTTTCGCATTAAGGAAGCCATAGGCGCACTAGATATAAAAAAATTAATAATGTTACAAAAAATACATGTTATACTCCAATCGTTACTCCAATTTTCTCCATACTTAAATCAAAAAAATACATCTTTGATTTGGTAAACCTTCTATAAACCTTCTCCTGACTACGCGACAAATCGAATATATAGCAATTATATATATGCCTGTATACACTTTGTATATATAAGAGAGTTGTACACACGTTGAAAGGCCTGATCTAGTGCATCTATAGTATGCAATACATTTGGCTACACACGTTCTGGAGCGTTCCGGAGCTCCTTCACTGACTGTGACTTGGATTAGTTTCAAGTTACTAGGGCTGGCTAGGGCTAACTCTAGGTTCTACACGTATATATATAAAGTAGAAGGAGTAGTATAGTGATTATATATAGGTTTGTATATTGCCTTCTATCCTAAAAACTCTTTGATTTTCACTCTGACTTGTTCTCGGCTTGTGGATCTGTGGATCTGTGCGTGTTCCGTTTCACAAAAATGCGTCTCAATTACAAATCCGCCTAAGCGCTATCATTCCTAAGATTCCCTTCACTTTCGGGACCCGACCACGGGCAGCTTGGACCTCCCGATTCCGGACGCCGGTGCAGCCACCGGTGGTGAATTGTCAAACGTGGAGCTGCGCAAGAGGGTCGGCTTCGTTCCGTTTCCGTTGAGCGTGTTGGAAGATTTCGTTTGTTGTGTCCTTAGGTTGGACGGCGATTGCTTCGTTTGCTTCTTGGCCTCGTCCACGCGCTTCCAGATGCTGGCGATGCGACTCTGGGCCTGGTTGATCTTGGCCGCCGCCGCTGCGGCAGCACTGCTGCCATTCAGGTTCGAGTTGCTGCGGGAGGGAGGCGTGGTGGTAGACACCCTTGTGGTCACAGCCCGTGAAGCAGCCGAGGATTTCGTGCCTGCCAGGCGCAGGCTGGTATTGGCTCTCTGGGGGGTCACGCGACGAGCCGGCGCTGAAGCCACTCTCTTCGGAGAACCACCCTTCGGCGAATCAGCTCCGGTTCCCGTCTTCTTTGTGGGTAGCTTGGAAACCCGATGGCTGGGACTGGTTTTAGTCTCCACTACGGGAACCTGGACATTCGTGTTTGTAGGTTCATCCTTCACGAAAGTACCCTGACGCTCCAGGCGTGCCGGAGCCGCTTCTGGTGGCGGCGTTGGTTTCTTTTTGGGAGGCAACTTAACCCCACCAACCGTGGGCACCACACTGCGCTTGGCAATCGTGGGCGAGAGTAGTTTCTTTTTGGGCGTGGCAGCTGCCCCACTGGCACTTCGCTGACTCTGCATGCTGTACGGCGATACGTAGGCAGGCTTCTTACGGCCTCGGACGACCTTCACGGCCGTAGCGGGCTCCAAATCGATGGTTTTGGCAATCGGGGATTTGGTTTCTACTATTGGCGGGGGAGGAGGTAGCTGGGCCGGCTCTTGCCCGTCGCAGGACTCCGTTTCCGAGTTCTGATCGCACTCTGGGGCATCCTCCGCCTCAGCCTCCCCGGTTGGCTCACCAGCTGCCGCCTGGGTGATGTTAATGTCCGTGATGAACGTGAACTGCTGCATCATAGCTCGGATCGACGAGAGCTCTTCGCTGGGACAGTCATCTGGTTGGATCTGGGTCTGGAGCAGGGCCTTCGGGCACTCGATCAACTGGGTCTTGTACCGCTCGGCACTGCCCCTCCTTCGACCGTTTGCTCGAGGAGACGGCGTGTCCACCGGAGCGGCCGCCTCCACGATCTCAATCTGCAATGTTTCGTTGACTTCCAGGGCCTCCAGCTCGGTGGAGGTGGCGATAGTGTAGGTCTTGTAGCGATCCTTGGCCAGGCGACGCTTCTGTTTGGGAGTCAGGGACCGTCGATTGGGAGACGGAGTGGATCCCTGCTTGGGCGTGGACTCGGCAGAGCTGTAGTCGTTCATGGTGGCATCCTCATCCTCGTCGCAGCAGCTCTGAAGGAGTGTCAGCGTGTGGTCATCGCAGGGAGCCGTCTCGTAGTTGGAAACCGAAATGGTCGTGGCCATGCTGCAGTCCTGTTCGCCATCGACCACCTCCGACTGGATGCTATCGACGCTGATCATGGAGTCCAGAAGCTCATCCATGAGGGATGGCGGCTTAATGTTGTCCAGCAGGTTGCAGCTGGAGTTCACGCTCTCTGCACTGCCCGCCAGGTGGCCCAGGGCCCGCCTGGCTACCAAGTTGGCGGGAAAAACCTTCCTGGCGAATCGAGGACTCTTGCTGGGCAGCTGCTGGCGTAGGGAACTCGGTTGGGAGTGCTCCTGGTAGCAGCTGTTCAATGACTCCATTCCAGACGGAGGACGTACGTTATCGAGATCCAAGCTGTTGATGCTGAAGGTCAGCTCCGTGTTGTCATCGTCAGAGGGCTGGAGAAGATTCTCGGCCAAGGCTCGCGCCTCAAAAGCAATAATCGTCGAGTTGCTCATCATGGAGGCACTGGTTCCATTGAACAGCAGTCTCTGGGGCTCCACTCTCACGCCGGCATTTTGCACCTGTCCGCCCAACTGGAAGTTAAGGCCTCCCGACGATCCAGAGTGGCTATTAACGATAGTATCGGTTCCTCCTTCTAGGGATTCCGGCTGACATTCATTCGTGGGCGTGATGTCCGGTAGCTCTTGCAAGGACTGGGCTTTATTCAAGTCCTCGTCCAGGCTCAAAGATGCCAAAACTGGAGCCGTTTGGCTTATGCTGGGAAAGCTCACGTCGTTGGGGCACGAGTTCTCGTTCCAGGTGTTGTTGCTGCTCGAGATTTTCTGACTATTGCTGTGGCTGTTGTTGCTGCTGCTCCGGAGCTGCTCCGCCGACGTGACGAACTCCAGAGTCAGCCTCTCCACAGACTTGAGCATTAGATCCGGGTCCTTTTGCTTCTCACTGGCGCCGGATGCCTTGAAGTTTTCGTTGATTGCAACCTGGTCCAACCTCACCATTGTGTCCATGATAAAGGATTGGTTTGACTCATCGCTGGAGCGGTCCTCCGAGTCCAGCTCCCTAGACCCAATACCGGTCTCGCGATCGCTCCCGTTCCCGTTCCCGTTCGCGTTCCCGCTCTCGTTCCCTTTCCCTTTCTCTTGACCTGGAGCTGGAGGACTTTTTGCCGTGGCGGTGTCTGTGGCGATGGCGGCGATAGGAGTCGGGAGGCTGCTCGGGTGCGGGTGCGGGTGCGGGCGCGGGTGCTGGTGCTCTACGTCTGGAGCTGCTGTGCTGGGGGCACTTGCTGATGTAGTAGCCGCCGTTGGGTGACACGGTTCCAATGCAGCTGCAGACGTAGCCTGGACGTTTTTTGGCACGGCGCTGATCTTCTTGGATATGCCCGTGCTGATGCACTCCTGCAGGAGCTTCTCATCTTTGCGCTCCCGCTCCCTGTGATCCCTGTGATGATGATGCTCCCGATGGTGGTGGCGCTGCCGCTTTGTGTGCCCACCCGATGGTAGCTGCACTGGCAGCGAATCGAACTGCTTGAGATTGGGATTCGACTGAGTGGAGGACGCTCCGACAATAGTCTGCTGCTGGGACCTGATGCCCGGCTCCTTGGACTTGTACATCCCCTTTAGGATGCAGAGCTCGAATAGCGACTTGGACTGGTTGTCGTTGGAGTCGCTGGAGTCCACCGAACTGTAGGACTCCTGCTGCTGGTGTTTGCGCACCGTCATTCCCGAGTTCAGGGAGCTGGCCGAGGCCGCGTTGATGGCTATGGGCTGCGAGGAGCTTAGCGAGCTGGAGCGCTTGCCGTTCGAGCTGAAGCCAAGATTCGACTTGGGCCGATTGCAGCCGGCGGCGATGGCCTGAAAATAAAGACCACAAAGTTCAATGGAAATCGACAATCGGGGGAGATGAAGCTGTTACCTGACTCAGCAGATTGGTGTCATCCTCCGAGTCGATGGATAGCGAACTCAGTGAGTCATCTTGCCAATTGGCTGGTCGTCGAACTGGCTCTTGCTTAGCAGGCTGCTGGGCTTTCGGTCTAGAAAATATTTCATTAAAAAAGGGCTTCATACAATCTTTGGACAACTCACTTGATGGCTTCCTTTAGCTGGACGGCTGGTCCCACCAGACTAGAGCCCACTGTCAGGTTGGACAGACCAGACACCACAGAGAAATTGCAGGGGCTGTCCTCCACCAGGAACTTGTTGGTCTCATCGGCCGAGGGTAAGTAGGTAGACAAGTTAGTCCCACCTCGTCGGAGCATGGCGATGGGATCTTGTGCCGGCTCCGTATTGGCCTTCTTCATGCCGTCCCGGATGCACTGCTCCAAGATCTGACCGGCTGCGCCACCGCAGTCTGAAGTGTTGGAGGATACATCGTCGGACAGCTGATGAGCATAGATCTGAGCATGACCAGTCGGGACGTCCTTCGGCTCGTTGGAGCTCATCGATATGGCCGACAGGTTGGTGTTGCTGGCCACCTTGGAGAGCAGGGCCGGCGTGTCCTCCGTGCAATAGCTTCGGACGGTCTCCTCGGCCACTCCCTCCCCAGAGGACTTTACGACCTCAGCGGGCTTGCGCTGCATTCCCATGTTGATGCAGTTGGCCAGGAGGAGTTCGTCTTCGTTTTCCTCCTCGGCCACGCTGGCCGGTGCCTTCTCGTCGTCCACAATGCTCAGGTTGCTCAAGCTGGTGGCCGTGGAAAATTGTGCAGGGGTGTGCTCCACGTTGAAACTGCTCAAGTCATCCTCAAAGACACTGCGCAGGGGCCGCTGGCTGGCTGGGACGGAAGCCGAGGCCGCGTCCACATTAACTCCGGACCCCGAACCGGCAACACTGTTCCTCCTGGGCGATTGGGGCATGCTTTGGGTGGGGGAATCGGGAATCTCTGATGGGGAAATGACGCCACTGGCAAGGCGACTGAAGTCACTAACCACCGAGCTCTTGTCGTCGCAGTTGGCCACATCCACGTCCGGATCGTGCACCAGGGAGTCCATTGAGCTCCGCCGCGAGAACATCAGCGGCGTCTCCAAAGCTGAGTTTGCCTGGGTGCCTGGAGCCTTAGCCATCACCTGTTCAGTGGGCTGCGACTCCTCTCCTAGTTCCTTTGGTTTCAATTCCGGTTCGACTGCCTCTGTGGAGACAGGTGCTTGGTTGGCCTTTCCCAGCTCATCCAAGCTGCTCAGCGAATCATAGCGACTGAAGTAGCCAGGAGTGCCCTCTTCGCAGTAGTTTATTGGCTTCTCGGGGGTGTAGGATCCAGATCCGCACTGCGGCAGCTTGGTAGGCTTCTTAGCAGTGGCCTCCTTGGAAACCACCTCCGGTTTGGACTCTGCCTCCGCTTCCGTTTTGGCTGCCAGGCGGAGATCAGTCACAGAGGCCGCGTTGGAGATGACATACGGGGTGTCCTCCGTCTGGTAGCACTTGACAGAGTCCTCCAAGATCAGCAGAATCTCCTGGCCCTCAGCTTTGGCCTCTCCAGTGGGAATCGGAGGCGTCGTTGTGCTCTTCTGGCCCGCTGCCGATGCTGATATGTCTAGTTCAGACTCGAGTTGGTTCTCCGCGTAGCGCAGGCTGAAGTCAGTTGGCTGATCCAGGTCCGTCTCCTGATATGTGGCGCTCTTGGTGGCGCTTTCGCTGTACTTGGCCGAGTAGTCGATGGGCTGCTCCTCGGTGGCCTCGCCATCCGGCTCCATTTCCAGCTCGAAATCGGTGATCTTGGGCGGCTTCTTCCTGTGGGCATCGGAAGCCGACGCAGACCGCATCAGGTGCTCGTAGGCAGAGTCCGACTTGGCGGAGTAAACTGAATCCCGGCTCTCGCTTTTGGTGAGCATTGTGGAACGAGTTAGTCGGGGAACTGCTGGATGCCTTCGGGAGGAACTGGACGCGCGCTCCTTGGAGATCTTTCCGCCCGAGTCCAGGTTGTCGCACGTCTCTGAGGTCTGCCGCTCGCCCAGCTCCTGCTGCAGTGCCTTGGCCTTTCGCGCCTCCAAAGTGGGCAACGCCTTAAGTCCCATTGATCGGGCAATGGGATCAAGTTGATGCTGGTTCTGCACAGCCGGGCGGAAGTTCAGCAGGTTCTTCAGAGCCGAGGAACTGCCCTCCGAGATCATGGCGTGCTTGGAGTGAATTAAGGACCGCAACATGGGCACGGCTCCATTGTCCCAGAGGAATTTCTGGTCCTCGGGGGAGCGGGCTGAGAGGTTCCACAGAGTGCCACACGAATTGCTCACCACCGTCAGGCTCTCGGACTTCAGTTGCTGCAGAAGAATGGCCAGGCAGTTGTGCTGGCGCAGGATCTGTCGGTATGGTTCGCACACTGCTATGTGACTGGACACATTTCGCAAGATACCGCCAGCGTTTTCGATGATTTTCAGGGTCTTGCTGGGACCCTCATAGCTGAGCATCCCGACCAGGAAGGCCAGGGCCCCGTCCACGGCACAGAACTCCGCCTTGTTGGTGCTGCAGTGCGCCGAGAGGTTCCAGAGGGCCGAGAGAATAGCCTTCAGGGTGTTCTCGCTCTTGTTCCGCATGGCAGCCAGCGCCAGTGCCGTAACTGTGCCGATCTCGTTCAGAACCGCCTTCATGTTGCTGTCCGCCCGCCAGGACAGGTTGCGCAGGACACTAGCCGTCACCTGGAGGAGATCGTCGGGGGCAGAGTCCAGCTGGGCCACCAGGGCCTCCATGAACTGCTTCTGGCCGCACAGCAGGGCTTTGTTGTTCTCGTCCCCGAAGGTCAGATTGGTTAGGGCCATGAGGGCGTACCGCCGCAGTGAGTTGCAGCATTGTTCCTCCGGCTTGGGGCCGTGCACCGCGTGATCCAGATGGACCAGGTTGGGGATGGCGTGCAGCGCCCCAAGCTCGCACATGGCATGCCGGTGCTCCTCGTCGAAACTGACCTTCATCAGGGAAGATATCGCCGCCAGAGGATGGCGGTCCGAGTCGTCGGCTATGGCCTCCCCGCCGCTTTGGAGCAGCGTCTTCAGGAAGGAGCAGTAGTCCTGGATTTGGTCCAGCAGTCGCAGCACCTTGGCCTCCCGCCTGCCAGCCTTCTCGTCCGGGTGGCTGTGCACTACATTGTGCAGCGCCTGGCTGGCATACTTCCGCACTTCCGGCTCGTTGTCCGGGGCATGCATCATCTGGACCAGAAGGGGCATGCAGCCGGAGCGCCGTAAAGTGGCACAGCTCTGGGCGTTTCCGGATAGCTCCAAGAACTTCTTTGCCATCTCAAGGGGATCGTTAGAGCCCAGCATGGAGAGAAGCGAGTAGACGCATTCGACCTTGGAGCCCAGGGTGGCGTCCACTGCCGAGGTGGTGTACCGTTCGTCAAAGCTCGTGGTCCAGGCGGCTCCCTTTGGCAACCGGGACACAGGCGGATGGTCGCCGTCCAGAAACCTCGAGAGCGTATAGGATGGTTCCTTGCTGCGAGAGGGCCTGCCCGCACTAGCCGGGGATCCGCCTCCGTTTCGGGGGGGCAGCTCCTCCAGCTGCTGCTGCTGCGCTGACTGCCGCTCGAAGTTCCTGTCCAGACTCCGGTGCTCTCGCATTTCGCGCAACTCCTGCGCCAGCATGTAGTCCGGGGGAATCGGATTCTCGTCGAGGAAGTGCTTGGCCGCCGGCTTCTTCACCACTGCCCCGGATGCGGCTGCAGTGCTGCTCTGGGTGAAGTGCAGCGTGTTGTCGTCCTGGGTGAACTCCTTCTTGGTGTACCCACTGGCTGCCAGCTCGTAGTCGCTGATCTCACCGTCGCGTTCGAACTTTTTGTCCATCTTGAGTTGCTCTCCAGAACTGGCTCCGAAGCCATCCTCGAAGTCCGGGGGCGGCACTGCATCGTAGTCGAGAAAGTGCGGCTTGCGCTCTGGAACCGAGTCCACATCGACGACGTCCTCAATGCTCAGGCCGGCGATGCCCTCCTCCAGTTCGGGCGTCTGAGTTGGCTCCAACATAGCTTCGGGATTTGCAGAATCGCACGCAAGTCAGTGCTCCATGGCCTGCAAAAAGAGGAGAGGCGTCAGTTGGAGGATCTATAAATTGCAGCAGATTTAGTAGACCAGTCGAGTGGCCCAGGGTGTGGGCTATTTATAGAAACTAGAGTCTGCCTGAAACTAGAGACTTGTATCTCAGCTGGCTGCCCATCAGGTGTGGGCAGAGCTGAAACCAAAACCGGAAAAGATGAGATAGGTTGTGCCCCACCTAGATCTCTAAAGAAACCATATGTTTCTAAATAAAACCGAGGGAAATATATTCTCAAGTCTAAAGGGTACCTAAGACTAGGCCTATGATGACAGTTGCTGGTTTAATTATGAGTGTACTAGGCTTAAGTCATCATTACCATGTGACCATGATCGATGGCAGGTGTGTCAGCTGCAGATACCCTTTCCGATAAGGTGATAGTACCTCTGACTATCATAGCCAACATAATCTAATTTGATAACCAATTTCAAGCAACTTTCTACTCTGATGCTCGCAAGAATTCGTCTATTGTGGCAGGTTCTTCCGATTGCCGCTCTATCGCCCAGCCACTTGATCACCTGGCCAGCTTTCAGCCAGCCCATAGCCACCATAGCCACCAGAAACAATGGCAAACGAGCTTAATCATCATCGTGATTAGCTGCATCTGGCGGTGCATCTTTTAGAAAGTTAGCGGCACACGGCGTCGTCTTTACGGAATTTCCAGTGCATGAAAGAGATACAGATGCGTTTTCAGCTGATTGTTGATATATGGTGGTGGTACATACATCTCTCTGCCACACGGGCTACCGTTGAATTATGTGCAAATGCAATTTGGCGCTGCACTTCTTTCCAGTTTTTTATTGTAGCGTAAAATTAGAGGCCCGGAGGGGCAGACAAATATGCAGCATATTCATGTATATATCCCCCCTGGGATTGGTAAAGTGGAGTAGGCAGTTGGAGTGGTGACCCGGGTGGGTCGTGTGCCAGTTCTCGGGATCGAACAAGTCAACTTGTTCAAGCTCCAATTGGCAAATTAATCAAATTTTAATTGCAAACATTGGTAACCGCAAATGCAAATGGCTTGTGTAACTGCCGGAAATGAATCCATCCATCCATCCATCCAACCATTCGAGTGGAATGTTGGACTGGGCCAACAGTGGCCAATCATTCATCTTGCCCGGCTGAGGTCTTGGCTATCGGTGCCCTGATAAGCTGCCGCTGATTATCATTTGGGTGGGAACTTGGTATTTGTCTCCCCGACAAAGGAATTCAGAAGACAACAAGACGATGAATCAACGAATCAAGGGCTAGACGAGTCAGCATGAATATATAGTGCTATATGTGGGGACATGTGCTGGCAGGGAATGCGAAAATATGCGTCACTTGTCTAGCCGGGAGCTTCATAGCCCCAGAGCCCCCCAGAGGCGTCGCCGCGAGTCATTAACCGGCCAGGGAAGCGTACGCCGCACAATGGAAACAATTGAAATTAAATAGTGGAATTAAATGGAAGCAGTTGAGAACTGGATAGTGGGAGAGTGGGAGAAACTATGTCTTTATGATAGTTTTAAGCTAAAATTGTTAGGTTTATCTTTTAGGTTCCCACCATAACTATTGATTTTGTTGCCCAAACAGTTCAAAGACCCCACAGTACCAGATTTGGCACACATTCTGAATACCGAATTATCAAAGAAGAGTGGATAGGTGGACGGTGGAGGAGGGAGGATGACTCTGGTGATGGAACCGAAAGCCATTAAACAGGCACATGGGGAAGTATGTATGCAAAAAATTATAAATAATAATAAAAATATTATACATAGAGCAACTAATAAATCTATGGACACACCGAGCTGGCATGTACGCTTCGGCTAGTGGCTTTAATGAGCACTTGGCGGTGCTTGTTTATGTCTCCGCTACCGAGATGATGATGATGATGATGATGATGATGATGATGATGATTATGTAAATTGTAGAAAAGTAAAAGGGAAACTAAATACCAGCATATGCATTGTTTTGTTGTTTGAGTTTGTAAGACAATCGGAGTGTGCACGGTGCCCAGTGCCCGGTGGCCGGATTTTATGGCCAAAACCTAGCCATGCAACCGCGATACGCTGCCGACAAGTGATTAATTATGGCGAGTCGGAATGGAAATGGATTTGGAATTGGAATTGGAAATAGAAATGTAAGTAAGTGGCCAAAATAGTTATCAATTAGGCGTGCCACAATCCCTTACAGCAGCGCAACCGACAACAACAACAACAACAACAATGCTCTGCTGATAAAGGAGCACAATCACACATATACACATACACACACAGACATTGTGTATGTACACATAGCACACATAGACGACACAGGCACTTCACCACCACCCACCCGCAGTGTATTCTGGGGGGACATTTATTGATTTTTCCTGTAAAAGGAATCGGCAGCAAACAGGAACTGCAAAAGGCACATAACGAAGACAATAATTAACAATTATAGACGAATTTCCGCTGTATAAGGCGTGGGGAGCAAAAAAAAAGTAAACATTCAGTTTTATTTCCATCCAAAAAGAGAGACGATTCTTCCAATTGGAAGACGAGGGCGACAGACTCCCACACGGGCCAGATTCTCGGCCAGCATACCTTGACTAGAACCGTTTTTTAGCAGCTTCTCCGGACGCCAAATGACACATTTCACGCTTTATCACTATTGTTTACTCAAGATATTGCATTTACTTTAATAAAATTGTATTGTTTTTCGGGAAAATGGAGATAGGAGAGATGCGCCCGCGACTCTGGTGCTCCGATCTGCGCCAACAGCGACGGATTTGGGTTAAGCTGCAACAACAGCTTTTCACCGAATTAATTCAACAAAATATTATCTGATTTTGGATATTTTGCTAATTATACCCGCGCGGAGCTGTTAAAGTTTAGAGCATTAGTGGTGAACAGCCGTCGATAGCTTGCACACCGATAACCCAAGAATTTATGGCTGGATATTTTCAACTGCGATAGTCAGCTGATAGTGAGTGTTGCCAATGGTCGTCATTTATAGCAAGGCAGGGCTGCCATTCGTTGTTATTTATAGCAATTACGTTAAGAATATATTTTTACTTTCTATTAATCATTAATCTTTTACTTTTAAACGCTCAAAAGTCATGCATCAAAATCCTGAAACAAAATATTTCTTAGATTTTTTAGGGATCCCTTGAAAATGGGATTTTCCCCTATAGGGCCCACAGTGATGGCTATATCTTCCCCAATTCTCAACCGATTCTCAAGCGGAGTACCTTAAACGATTTGTGGGTCGATTCTCCGCCATTTTGCATCAAAACCCTGAGACAAAATATTTTTTAGATTTTTTGTCCATTTTTCGTGATGGGATCCCTTGAAAATGGGATTTTCCCCTATAGGGCCCACAGTGATGGCTATATCTTCCCCAATTCTCATCCGATTCTCAAGCGGAGTACCTTAAACGATTTGTGGGTCGATTCTCCACGATTCTGCATCAAAATCCTAAGACAAAATATTTTTTAGATTTTTTGTCCATTTTTCGTGATGGGATCCCTTGAAAATGGGATTTTCCCCTATAGGGCGTCCCTATAGAGAGTCATAATGATGCTGTAATATTTTTTTATTTATTTTGCATTTTTGAATTTCTTGCACCTTTAATACAAAAAAGTCGCAAGATAAAAGAGCTTTTCGTTCGAGATAATAGGATGTAAAAAACATAACAGAACGGAAAACTAAAATTGAGATTTACTTTGAGCGGGAATTAAACATTGGACAAATTTGAAAATATCGATAAAAAAAAATTGGCCGCCTCCTCCGCCACATCAGCCAGTTCCAACTCTGCCAGCGAAGTACGGCTAAAAGTAATATTAATAATCAATAATTGCAACTTTATGTAATCTAAAAATACTTACAAAAGCACAATTTTACAGTCGCCGAAACAATTTTTTAAGACATTTTTGATTTTTAGAGCATTTACTGTGGCCAACGTAGCCATGAACTCGATGGCCTTCAGTGGGTCGGCAAGGTCTTTTTTAAACTTCTTGAAGCCATCTTCGCCTCCTTTATGGACGTCGATGGCCAGCAGAGCCCCAATTCTCCCGCAGAGATGTAAGTCCACATGCCCAAATCTAAATTTCCATCCAGGGAATGCATGAAATATTCGTTTCAAGAAGCACTCCAGGCTAAGGAGCTGAAATAATATTTGTAAATAGTATACCTTGTTCTTAAATTTAATGTTGTTGTTTAAATTACCTCCTCTTTATATTCATCTTTGAGCTTTTCCGGAACAATGTTATTAATTACAACCCGGATAAAGATTAACACCTGATTAAAATTATTGGAAAATAGTGGCTTGTGTATGCACAACCAAGCCGCAATCTGGTCAATGTAGTTATTTCTTTTTAGCAAAGTACTCCGAAAATGGTTTAGGTCCCATAGGACTGGAATTCCTTTTCCTTCTAGGAAACTTATGGCCTTAAAATTGGGGGCGCACTTTTTGGCCACAGCTCCGGCCAATTTGGAATGGAGGGAGGAACTTTTAGAGATTGATTCGTATACCATTTCTACACCTTCCTTTGTAACATGTGAGCTGATTTTAAAAACTCCACTTGTTATCTGAAAATATGTTACTTTATCCTATTGCTCTGGGTAGTGTTTATTTATACTTACGGTTCGCACATATACTATATGCAAATGTCCCATAAAGCTGCAGCAGGCTATGATGAAGATTTTCCATTTCTTCCATTCCATTGGGGCTGCCTGCAAATTTATTATAATATTATTAAACAATTTCATATCCTGCCGGACATATGTATTAGTAAGTTGTACTCACATTCACATGTTTTAAATCGATCTCATCGAAAACTAAAAAAAAAGGTTCCGACGCTTCCAAATAAAATCTAAAATTACTCGAAATCAATGAGTATCCATTCCTGAGGGTCTCCCTCTTTTGATTCACAAAGGTATCGAGCTCCGGTATGATTAAATTTTCGAACATTGTTAATTTTTTCACAAACTCCATTGTTATTTACAAATTAAACAACGGAAAAAGAGATGCTGGCCCCGGCGTTACAATTATTACTGGAAAATTAAGCCCCCGCGAAACTGTCAAAACTTTGAGCAATAGTGGTGAACAGCCGACGATACAGCAGCACATCGATAGGCCAAAAACTTAGCCGATTATTTTTAGCTCCGGTAGTCAGTGTTGCCAATGGTCGTCGTTTTGTTGGGTTTTGATGCAGAGATGGAGGATTCATCTAGAAATTATTCAAGGCAATCTGCAGAATGATCGAATCCGTATTGAAAAAAACAAAGACAAATTAGTAAAATTTAAAAAATATGGATTGAAAATATTGGACGATTTTACAAGGAGTTTCGTAGAAAATCAATATTAAAATATGTATTAATATATAATAAATAATATATACAATAATTAATGTGAATTATTTAATATAACAATATATATTCAAAATCTGACGGAATCGTACGGTCTTACTTTGATTTTAATAAAGCTGGTAGTGTGGTGAAAAATAAAGAAAACGTTTTTCCAAGTTGGCAGCACTGCCAAAACTCACCACACTAATAGCGATGTTGTATTTTTGTTTTTGTAAAGTAACAGACCACCTCCAGTGAGCGGACGTCGCGGATGCGACAATTTTTATTCGGGCAGGTGTGCGCGCGTTGCGTTCTCCGATTAGCGGCAGCTCACCTTTTAGTTACTAACTAGAGACCCAACTGAAATGAAGCGTCTGAGTCGCGGTTGAAACCCCAACAGGATATAGCACAGGTGCCGGGATAAATACATATCCTTTACTTGATTTTCGTGGAAATTCCGGGGCTTCCATTTCGTTCGTTTATGCGGTAAATAAATAATAATAACACTCTGGATCCGGGCCGTGCTGCCGTGTTCTGCGAATTCTCGGTTTATTTTTACGTTTCTGTGTGAAAGCCAATCGGCGCCGGAATATTGTTTATTGAATTGCACCTGTACGGGGCGGATAGACGGACGGACGGACGGTGGAAAAATTGTGAATTTATTCGCGGTCTATTTGGTTTGCGTGCTTCGATCGGGTCGGATTTAATACCCAGTGCCTAGTGCCCATTTTAAGTAAATAATATCCCGTGGCCAGCACCATCGACTAAAAAGTTTTCCTCGCATTCAAATACCAGTTCTAACAACAAATACACAAACACGTTTTCCATCTTTTGTTTTCAGTGTGTGTGTGTGTTGGAGTGTGTGAGTGTGCGAATGTGCCAGTATGTGTGTGTACGTGTTGCTTGTACGTGTGTATAGAAATTTCTAATGATTTTTGTTGTGTTTTCCCCTCCCTCCCCTCTCTCTCTTTCCCTACCAAAAAGCAGCTCCAAACAACAACAACAATTATTGGACTCGGCAGTGCGTGTTTTATAATTTTCTTGAATAATTTTTTAATTTTTCATCCAAAAACAACTGCAAACAATTGTTTAAAAAAAAATAATAAAAAAAAACCAACTGCAACAGCATTGATTCCAGCTTTGAATTTTTTGGGGTGAGTAAGTGGTCTAGTATGGACTATTATGGACTATTATTTGAACTAGAATACTCCCTAATTAGAGGAATTATAAAGGAATTAGAGCAGTACCATTACTAGTACCAGTACCATTAATGAAAACTATCAGATACACTTCCTATTATATCAATCAATCAACATTTATTTGTTAAAGTCACTCTAAGAACCTCCTCCGAGAGCCTCTCCTGGTAATCTGGTGGCCTCGTTACCTCAGGCAGCAGAAACAGCAAAAGATGACCTCCACCACCAGGACCAGGGACATGAGCTGCATCAATAGCCTGTCACCGATTTGGCCCTGTTTCTGGAATTCCACAACCACCGGAAAGTTGTCAATGGTGGCCCCAGGTTCCAGACCCAAGTAGGGGGTGGTGGTGTTGGAAGAATTCATTTTTTGAGGATCCAGTTCCCAGATAGACCTGGTTAGTGTCTATATATTTTTGGGGGATTTGGAGTAGTGACATGCGTGCCAGGGTTTGCTTTTCCGAATAACATCCAGAGTTGTGTATTTTCACTTTGCATGCCAGCCTGCCCCCCCTGGCTGGCGCCCATCAAGTGGCAGCATTTAGGCGCCTAGTCATTTATTTGATATCATCATCATCATCGTCATCACCTGAACAACAGGTTTTTGGCTAATAAGGTAATGGCAAAAAGAAACGAGGGAAAAACTGCATAAAAAAAAAAATGGCTAAATTATAATCGAAAGAAAAAATCCATCATTGGAAAGTTGATTTGATTGCATTTGCGGAATGCAGTCGGAATCGCAATAGTTGTAACCAGGGTTGCCTAGTTGTGCGGCAGGGCGACGCATTTTTTTGTCGCCCCAGCACTTGGCTAATATTTCAGGCTTCATGCTTCATTTATTTTCATTCAACTTTCGCAACCACTGCCGGGCAAGGGCGATTGGATTTGGATTCCATTGGATTGGGTCGAAATCTATTGGGATGGCATTGGGGAGAAAGGCATTCGAAAGGGCTGGGATGGGATGGATTACACGCTAGTCTCGAACACTCTCTCGTACATGGTTTTCGAACTTTCCGAATCCGATTTCCATTCCATTCATGTGGAATTTGCATTCAAACATGATTTTTGTACTTTTACAAGGCAGTATAAAGTAGTATATAGTATCTGTAGATATATCTCTATAAGTGTAGGGTTGCCACCTATAATAAATCGCTTCGGGTGACAGTTTCCCAAGTGCTTTTGGCCAAAAGTGCCGTGTGGGAGCATTACACAATTATTTCAACCATTTCCTCTCCCCCTCCCCAAAAGCAAATGAATTTTTCCAGGCAGCACCACACTCATGAAAATCAATTCCTTCCGCCCCCCTTTTCCCCCTCCCCTTCTCTCTGCCACTGGTTTTTTTTTTTTGCCATTTTCTTTCCGTTTTTCTGGCGTTTTGTTTATGCTTTTCCCATCTTATTGTTTTTGCGCGCCTCGTGCGTCAATTTATGTGAGTTCAGTTCGCCTGCAAGACGGAAGCGCTTCTTAATGATACGAATAATAGTAGTAGTAGTAGCTGCAGCAGCAGCTGGAAAAACTAAAGTAAAAAAAAGGGTAGCCAGGCCGGGTTTGTGTAATTTTTTGCATTTTCATTTTCCTTCCCCCACAAAACACAACCCATGGAAAATTGGCGCCGCGGCAACTGTCTTAAATGCTGCTGCCGCTCAAAACTTGTTTGCCGCATAATTTCCAAAGTTGCAATTTTCATTTTTTATGGCCATTTGTCTTGGAGTTGTTTTTGTCTGTTTCTCAGTTTTTTTTTTTTTATTATTTTTCCCCCCCGAATGTACTTTTTTTTTTACTTTTCAGTTGTGTTTGCAATGCCTGTTGGGGCCCGGTTTGTTTATGTTGCGGTTCGTTGAGGTAATCAGAATTACAGAGAGAGCAATTAAGCATATTATCCAAGGTCTATAAGCCCAAAATCATCCCCTTTCTGAGAACTACCATTTCATAATCCAGCTCTTTCATAATCGAGTGTAAGCACTTGCCATCTGGGCCATCTGCTGTCGACAACTTCCACTTGTGGCCATTGCCCACTACCGGGCCACCCATATGGGCCCAGTTTGGGTTACCTGGGCCCAGTTACCTGTACCTGTTACCTGTTCCACCACCAAAACTGAAGTGACACTTGTGCAATTATTGTACAAAATGTTTATTGTCCCGCTTGGCGGTAGAACCTCTTGGACTTGGACAGGTTGCTGCAGTCACTCGGAGAGTGAAACGAATGGGGTTTTTCTTTTTTTATTTTATGCTTTTTATGTCTGTCTTTCGTTGAAACAATGCCGGGTATTTAGTGAAAATGCTTTGTACGGCTATACGACAGAGCTCTCTTATTAACTTACCTGTTATTCCGACCATTTTCGTTTTTCACACGCACCTGGGCTCTGCGCCAGACTGGAAAATGCACTTGCCTGGTGGATTATACGACTACCATAGTTCGCCTTCGCCTTCGCCCTGGCTGGGATTTCTTTTGTCTGACCGCTTTCCCGTTCCCGTTTTTCTGAATGAGCCACGAACGGAAATGCCGCAGGGGGTGATTTCAATACCAGGGCCTAAAACAGGGTCTAAAAAGGGATAATTTCGGGATAGGAGTTACACATGAAGAAATGATAGATTTCTTAATATATCTCTAATATGGTATGTATCACAATATTTTTTTTGTAGTGTACCCAATTTCAGGTGAGGATTTCCTATCAAGATCTAGAAAATTGACGGCGCCTTCGTCGAGTATTTATTAGTTCGCATGGGTATGGCTCTACTATATAATTAAAATGCAACACGATGGCCAAGATGGGTCTAGTTCGATCCGACCTGCTTATCATTAAATCACGATTAGTGCCAAGCTTAATTTTATGTTTCTCCTTGGATATCTGTTCGATTTTTAATGATTTTGGTCTTTGGAGTTTGGTAATCAGGGCTGGGCTGAGGAGAGTATTTAGTGTCTGCCTAAATTAATAATGATCTCGACTAATTTTTAGTATTATTACTGATGTATGTATGCCCGAGAGGATGTGAGCTCTCTTAATTGAAAATTTCAATTACATAATCGTATGGCTTATCGTCGGCCCAGAGCTCCCTTTGGGGGCCACCCAACTCCCCAACTGGCATTTGTCAAATGTGGTTTGAACCTTTAATTTGGCAAAGGATACATGTTCTTATATATAGACTGTATATAGAATACAAACTGATGACCTAGCTCCAGTAGCACTGGAAGAACTAATTGCCACTGGCGCTTGTTGTGTGTATAACTCTGGGGGGGTAAAAGGGGGGGTCTACTTATATACATATATATGTATATAGTGCGTGTACATACTGGGCCTGTTAATATTCTACAGTGGGTGGTGGGGGCTCTATAGAATTTAAAGTTATTTTACATTTAAAATAAAAGTTTATTAGACTTCATTCTCATAACTGAAAGCCCTTTCTCAACAAAAATTCACCTCATCCCTTGGCAACCCTACAAACCTACCCCAATACTCCACCCCTGTTGGCGCTTAACAGCTGTCTGTTAACTTAACATTCCAGGAGGAGTGGGCCGCAACAGCTGTTCCCTGTGTCGTGGGCGTCGCTCCCGAAGCGAAAAAACGAGTGCAACTTCCCAACCAGCACCCACCTCCCCCTCAGAGTGCCATTGCAACAGAGTCGACAGCTTGTGACCTATATAAGTTCGACTTTATGTATATTATATCATGTTCCTTTAGGTACAGATATTGCAAACTTTGGGTAGGCATCTAACAAAATGTCCTCAGTATGTATGCAAATGGCCCAACTCCAGGACGAGCCTCTGTTATCAGTTGAGGCCCGAATGCTTTCCGGCCCACCACAAATGGCTCAGTTCGTTTTGTGGCATTACCGCGTCAAGTTGAGCTTCGAAATGTGTGTATGTGTCGGTTTAGATGGGAATTTTAACGTCAAGTACTGTGAAAAAGCTCGTGAATTTTTAATATAATTCGCCAGACATAAAACGGGGTGAAAAGGGGGCGGGAATCAATGGAATATTCTCGAATATAGATACCCAGGCGAGGGTAAATATACTTTTCTTCTTCGTTATAAAGCAAATATTTATTTTACCCTTTTGCCAGGCCCTGTCTTTGGAGATTTCTGCGATTTAATTTCAATATTGCAATTATTCACACCTAGCCAGTGGCAACCTTGAAGCTCAGGCCTTCTTATCAGCTGCCAGAGGTATAAACAATATTTTTTATGTCACCGGCAATCCCCGCCTTTGTTTCCAGCGACCCATTAATGCAAATAGCGGGCTCTGATTGCAGCCAGAACTGCGCCTCAAACGGATCTCACGGATAGAATTCGAGAGAGGGCGCTTGATTAGAGTAAACAGTGCCTGGAGGAGCCTGGCTAGACACTCGGACTGGGTCCATATATAATGCAGCGTCAACGTTTATCAGCAATTATCAGAGGGCCGTCAAGTTGTCTATTTGTTTAGCGGCACAACGCTCCCTGCCCTCCCTCCTCAGGTGAAATGAAAACATTTCTCTGTTTACATTTTTGTAGCAATTAAGTTTCTTATTTGCTTTTCGTTTTAGGCTTTTTGTTAACAAAGTAAATATTGTTTGGAGTAGAACATAAAGGAGTACAAATGTTTAATAATCAAGTCAGCAGTTCAAACTGAAATCACTGCATGGAAATACACATATATCTTAGACCAAAAGTATACTCCTTTGGCCAAATCGATAAGATATATAAATTAAATTTCGCTATCGCTGTTGATTATTTTTTGCAATCTTTAGAGGAACTCCGAAGCGCATTCCATACTAAGATTATGGCCTATACCGGCATTTCTCAACAGCTGAGTCAGTCGGAGGAGGGCGGGGATCCACTCGATTATAATAGAACCGATAACTGACCCATGTGATCGATCAATTTGTTCCCTTTCCTCCACAACGACAATTAAAGCATTGAATTGTGGCTTAAATTATTGACGCTTTGGTTGTTATTGTTGTGGCTTCTGTGAAGGTCAA